AAAGTTGTACTGTCCAGCTCAGAAGTCATGATTATAATTTGGCATGTAGATATACGAGTGTTTACACATTGGAAATTTGAAAGCTATATAAAAATAATACAAAATTTCCGATAATGAAGGTTTGTCAAAATATGCATGTTGTGCCAGCAGTTTTACCAATAAATAGTTCGGGCGACGTAAACGCGTATCTACAGGTACATATATGGGCATATTATCATATTCATTGGCTTGTTTGGCGCCGAAAACAGAACGCGTGACCGTAATGTTCTTAGCAACTTTTTAGCACAGTATTGTCCTTGAACATCAAATGCAGGTAGCAGGAAAGAAGGATGCTATGCTCAAAGAATGATGCGTCACAATTTGTAAAAAGTGTGCAAGGAGTGGCGTACGACATATTGCTGTCCTGTGCAGAGTCCTACATAGCGCAGACGGGCCGCTGCACTAATGGCCGGTTAAGGTAGTGTGTGCAAAACTAAAGAAAGTAGATAATGGGCCGCTGCACTAATGGCCGGTTAAGGTAGTGTGTGCAAAACTATAAAGAAAGTAGATAACCTTCTTTCGTCACACTACCGAAAGTTCACAGGCGAGCCGACATCTCTTGAGGGCCAAGATAATACATGTATAGGCCGGAACAAATCATCTCGTCAACCCTGTGATACTCACCATAAAGAAAAAAATAATACCATGTTAGTGCCACGTCCATGTACTTGTAAAGAACAAATAAGGTTTTGTTCTTATATTACAGCCCCGTAGCCCAATCAGTAGCGTCACCTTGATATGCGCTCGGTGTGTCAGCAAACCTTTGTACTGTACATCTCATTGCAGCATTTAAAAAACAAGTTGTTAATGCACCTAGACTTTTTGTTCCATGTAGTTGTCTTTTTAGCGCAGAAGTCACCATGTTATGTGATCATCAAATCGTCAACAACAACTTTTTATTATTGACTAGAGCCAATCACCTTCACAAAGTCCGCTTACTCACCAACGATGGTTGACGACAGAGACGAAAAAGAGTCATTCACATACACACAAAAAAAAAACAGTAGGCTGACGCATGAGTGAGTGGCCTACTATTGTTCTTAGTTGTCAACTACTGGTCTTTCTAGTAGGTCTCGTGAATGAAAACAGTTGAAAGTTTCTTGAAAAAAAGCTTTGGGTTGTTGGAATGTCTGTTTAGGAATGTCCCCTCTGAAGATGATGTGCCGATCGTTTGCCCTTTTCACATATCTGAGACGAACAAAATATGCAAAGTAACCTATGCTTGATAAGGAAACTGCGTTAGCGCCCTACAACACCACGCTGGCCGAAAAATTCCGGAGATGACCCCCTAGATGTAGGGTGACTACACTACGATTGGAAACACTGCTGAGATGCAACACGTTGCGCTTCTGAGAATTTAAGCAAATGCCGCAAAGAGTGTGCTTATTCCCAGGTGTCCCATATCCGTCGGTAATCGGTCACGAGAGCCTTCTGCGAGACGCGTACTCCGAGGTCAACGTGGACCCTACGAAAGTTGTTTATGTGGAGGCACACGGCACTGGGACCAAGGCTGGTGGCATTCAGGAGTTGGAGGCAATCAGCAACGTGATTTGCTCACCCGGACGCGAGAAATCACTTTTGATCGGGTCGGTCAAAAGCAACATGGGGCACTCCGAGAGCGCCTCTGGTAAGGAAAATGAAGTGTCTTCTCATCAGCAGCTTTTTTTATTCATGTCACAGTAGGTCTTATTTTATTGGATTGTAGTGATAGTGTAATTGACAACAAAATTATTGATAATAACCATCTCTCTGACCTTCGTTCACACACTTACAAGGTACTAGACATCGTGTACCATTTCGAACATATAACTAAACAATAATAGGGGAAGCACATGCGCTTTTTGCGTAATTCCAATGATTCTTCTGTTTACCATATTAACAATGCTGGGCTAGAAACGGTCTTTTCTTTTATGTAGCACGGTGCTCACACTTCCTAGTATTTGTCCCGGAAAACCGACCTCAATAGAGAGAGAAAGAGATAAATAATTAAAATAAAGAGACAGGGAGGTTAACCTATATGAACTGGTTTGCCACACTGTACGGGGGTGAGGAAAAGGGTCGGAAAGAGGATAGATGTATCCTCTATCGTAATATAATGCTAACCGCATACATAGCTATCTTTGCAAAAACGTTTCTAATGGATCCTGTTCTATTAAAATTCATGCCTTACAAAACCCTGGTTCGCTCTATATATAGCATTCTCCATCTGTCTTGACTTATTGGTTGACGTCATTGATTCAGTCATTTCCGATTTCAAAGCTGTGCAGAACCGTGCCTGTCGTTTTGTACTTATCACCACACAAGTAGGGTAACCACAATAAAATTAGGTTTATGCCTCCTTCCTTTCTCTGATCACAGCTCTGTATCTTCATTACACGTGTTTCCTAAAATTTACTACAAATACATGAAAAAGAAATTACATAGAAGGCCTTAGTATATACCTACTCTTATCGATACCGCACTAAAATGGCGATTCCATTTTGTCAAATGGAATGTTTTCATAGCTCATTCACACGCAGAACTAGTGTCAGTTGGAATGACATTTTCTATGGCACCAATATATAATGATATGCTTCCTAAAACAATAGCTCTTCTATGAATATATGTATGATTGTGATTGTCGCACAATTTTCTGTCTTACTGTTGAAATTTTTGCGTATATTACCGCTACTGCTTTATTTCTTTATCTCAATGTGAGTTTTTTTGCCTTTCACTTGCATGGGTATTCTACTTTCACTCTCTATGAGTTGCTGCTTTTTCTACTTCTATGTATATATCCACTTTCCTCTGTAATGTCTTCGGGTCCTAAGGGTACTAATAATATCTATAATAACTTGATTCGGGTGCATGCACAACGGTAATATCTGGACCTAATTCTCCTTATAGTAGGCGACTAATTAGTGAACCTGAATAGTTTTCGGGAACTGACTGTGCGTCCATAATAATTTTGGCGCTTCTCATCCAAACTGGATGATAAATTTCGTTATGAATGCTAAAGGTAGCAGACTCTGTTCTGAATATCAACTAATAAAACAAAATTGACAAAAAAAGAATGCTAGGTGCTATTCGCACGAATAGGTCACAATGCGAAAGTAGAATATGTCTTCACAGTAGCTGTTTTTATGTATATGGTAAGAAGGAAAACCGCCGCACTGTAATTTTCTAGTAGGTGGTCTTCAGTCACACCCCCATACCTAAATTGAGACGTTTTGCAACTGTCCCTCAACCTACATTACCAGCCACCCAATCCAAATGCTTGAAATCTTGTGGCACTACAAATAATTGGTTGGGTGCGAACCAAGAGCATTTCATATGTGCACTTAGAGCATAGTCACCGCCAACACTGATGAATCTCCACACGCAACATCATTCTACAAACTTCTTCACTAGTTTTAGCCTTCGCGTGGACATCCAAAATACTACTATTCTGCGTACTTAAAGCGGGATGGTGCCGGCGCGCAGAGGCTCATGAGAGGGTGTTTTGGATGTCCACTGGTGCACTAGAGCACGTCAGTTTTCTTTGTAGTATATAGAACAAAAAAAAAAACTACGCACTGCTGTTTGTCTGGTCTTTTAAATGCGAAGCATTCCTTAGTAAACTTCGGTGGCCTTTGAGCGTATCTATCTATCTATCTATCTATCTATCAATCTATCTATCTATCTATCTATCTATCTATCTATTTAGCTGCCTACGACTTTTAGCTCTCCTGGCCGTTTCGCAATGGCATCGATACCAAATTTGGTATGGGCATAGCACGACTGTATGAAGAACATATGCGACTAGTGATAACATGAAAATGAAGACATGTATGTCATGAATGTCGTGATTTACATTTGATGGTCTTGCTGCTCTTGCGGTGCTTTCGTTCATGAAGCATGTTGCGAAAACGGGTATGGTAAGACATGACTGCATGGCGAACACAGGTGAGAGACCCTATCGTGGAAATCATGACATAAATGCCATGTAAGTCATGAGTCATGACTGCACGCCACTCTGAAGATGCGCTCGCGGTCATTTCGCTCGTTTAACATATACCAAATTCGTATTACGGGACGTGAATGAATGACATAGGTATATTACTGGTGCAGACCATGATAGTCATAAGATGCGAGTCATGTTAGAACATGACTAAAGGCCACACTGATGATGCACTTGAGGCCATTTCGCTAGCTTCACATATACCAAGTTAGATGATACGGGACGTGAATGGATGACGAATGTATGTGGTTGGTGTAAACATGATAATCATGAGATGCGTGTCATGTAACAACAAAACTACATGGGACGCTCATGATGGGCTTCCGACTGTTTCGCTAGCTTCACACGTATCAAATTCAATATTGCGTGACACGAATGAACGACATAGGTAATTGACACGTCCAAACATGATAACCATGGCATGCTTGCCATGTAACAATATAACTACATGCCACACTCACGGTGCGCTCGCTACCGTTTCGATAGCTTCACATTAGCCAAATTTGATATTGCGTCATGCGAATGTATGACAAATGTATGTAACTGCTTCAAACATGATAATCTTGAGATGTGGATTATGTAGGAACATGACTAAACTTCACACTCAAGGCGCCAATATAGCTCGACGAGACCCGGCACGCGTGCTCAGCGGCTTTGGTTTCATCGCGTCACGCAGGTTATGCAACACCAGGCGCCGATCTGTCTGCGTGCGCCGCACTGCGTTGCTTTGACGCATGCGCGTTTGAGCGCGTCCGGCGTCCCTCCGTCACGAAGAGAGGCAGTGTTAGGTGCTCAGTGAGCAAACGCAGTGCTGTCCAGGTAACGTCATCGGCACGAAATGCAGTATGTCGCTTTTAGCGCCGGTTGCCACCGGGCCACGCCGACGAACGCTGGTTGCGTCGGTCGCGCCTGGCGTCAGACTATAGGGAGAATTAGAATAACGTTTGCAAGCGCTGCGGGCGTTTCAGGTGTAGCGGGCACCATATGAGTCTTAGAATTGCGTTCGCCTTGCTGTAAACTGCAACGCACGATCGCAGCGACACCGTAGCCTTGAACCCAGCGCTTGCGGGCCACATGCGGGCCGCGATCGCCGCCCGCAATTTCGTTCGGATTTTTAGCGCGCGGTGCGCGAACGCGAACCCGACTCGCGTTACGACGCATGCGCAGCCGCAGCGACCGCACTGCATGGAGTGGCGATGCGCTATTCTAAAACTCCCTCATAGAGTGCTCGCGTTTTCCTAGTGTAGCGTCGCTGCGCCCAGCGTGCGCGCGCGTCAACGTTACGTCGGAGTATATTTGGCCCTTAATGATGTGCTCGCGGCCATTTCGCTATCTCCATATATACCAAATTTGGTGATACGTGACGTCAGTGTATGACGAAGGTATATGACAGGGGCTAACATGATAATTATGACACATGTGTCATGTAAGAACATGACAACGTACCACGCTCATGATACGCTCGCGGCCATTTCGCTGGCTCCACATATACCAAATTTGGTATCAGGTGACATGAATAGACGACGAATGTATATGAGACGTCCAAACATAATAATAATGATATACGAGTCATGCAAAGCATCACTACATGATACGCTCATAGCGTCTTCGTGGCCTTTCGACTAGTTTCAAATTTACTAAACTTGGTATTCCGTGATGTGAATGGACGATAAATGTAAATGGCAAGTCTAAACATGATAATCATCATGTGCGTGTCATGCGAATCATAACTACATGCTATACTCTTAGCGCGCTCTCGGCTGTCTTGCTAGTTCAACATATACCAAAGTCGGTATTACGCGACGTGCATAGACGACGAAGGTAAATGATACGTTCAAACATGATAGTCATGACACATTACATGGAAATCGTGTACGGCGTAATTTACATCCGCCTCGTAACGTTGTGCTGATTTCAAAGTGACATATCAACCTTCCTCAATCGTGCTTTGCATATCTTCGATTCGCACTGTTCGGGGGATCTGCAAACTTTTTTTTTTACTTCTATGCACTGTAATGCCGGATAGACTGGCGCTCTGCATGGTGCGGCCACACTCAGCTGAACTCACCTAAATATTGGTGGACACCGTACACAGCACCATGTATGTTTCGGCAAGAACCTTTGCCCTGAAATGCTAGTCAGTAACGCTGAAAAAAAATTGCCCGCAGCTTCCCTCGGGGGAACACTGAGGAGGATGCGGAAATTGGTTAACGGGTGTTAAATTGCGACTTACTTGGGTCGATGGCTAAATTGGTTAACGTGGTTGTGAAATGGGGTGTTAAATGAGTGAACACGTACGGCACGTATGCGAAAGGGCGGTGTTTTATTTATTGCGACGAACTTTGAGGACGATGGCTTAGGGACGTCGATCATTCTGTTTGTGGATTCGTTGGCATTCATTTCACGGCGACTTCGGACGTCGACGCGCCGTACAAACCAACGGACGAGCGGCAACTGAGCGAGCGAGCGCCGACCTTGAGTATATATACAGCGCGACGGCGCATGCGCTGTCAGCTGTCGAATGTTCTCGAAGGAGAAGCGCGCGCGCGGCACAGATGGCGACGGCGCGACGGCGCATGCGCTGTCAGCTGTCGAATGTTCTCGAAGGAGAAGCGCGCGCGGCACAGATGGTGGGCGACGGCGCGACGGCGCATGCGCGCGCGTCAGCTGTCGAATGTTCCAGAAGCGGTGCGGACGGCGCGGATGGCGCACTACAAGGCGCGAGTATAAGATGCTTCCGCATCTAAAAGTAGATTTCAATGTGATATTTGCAACATTAGTGACCACAAGGAATGCAGGAACAATGTTTGTGACTCTTACTGCAATGGATTGTCCCACTTTCAATCAACGATGATCCTAACAATAAACTTATGCATCCCTGCAAAGGTTCCTGCAAGTTCCCATCGTTACACTGCTGTTGTATTATAAGTGGTTATACGGGCCATTGCTTTCGGCAGCGGTTATAGCAGATAATGTTGTTTCGGCCTTAAGCACGCAGTGCGCGCCGCCACGTGGTCTAGTGGCTAAGGTAGTCGGCTGCTGACCCGCAGGTCACGGGGCCGAATGCCGGCTGTGGCGGCTGCGATTCCGATGAAGGTGGAAACGTTGTAGGCCCGTGTGCTCAGATTTTGGTGCACGTTAAAGAAGCCCAGGTGGTCGAAATTTGTGGAGCCCTCCACTACGGCATCTCTCTTAATCATATAGTGGTTTTGGGACGTTAAACCCCACATATCAATCAATCAAGCACGGAGCTGCCTCTCTGAATGCTTTTGTGGCAAATTTCCCGTTTAATGACAGAGTATGAGGACATCTCCATGTAACGCCCACTGTCGTCGATTACAAAAGGGGCCTACCTTAACCGAATGCGAAATGGGCAAGAAAATCAAGTAAGGCGAAGAAACCTGGGTATAGAAAGGAACTCCCGCTTCTACACGCCAGGTACCTATTTAACATTTCGCTAAAATTATGCTGTCGTACTACATATTGCATGGGTGCCTTGAGTGTTTAATATATACCCATGAGGCTCCTTGTGTTTCAAATCGGCGGGGTTCAATTGTTTTGAAAAGGACATTGTTTGTAGAAAGATACTTCACTTTCTTTCATGATATTTCAGTAGGTCTCCTTTTCGTAGAACCCGGAATCATTCTTGATTACCGTGTTTTTTTTCGAGAAAAAAGATTTTTTCCGCCTATTTTTTATTCAGTTACGGCACGCCGCGGTGGCGGCCTTCAACAGAAGGCACACCATGTGCAAAGTTTTCCGATTTTTTAGCGCTTTTGGAAAACTGTTTCTTGTTGCAGTGACCTATTATTTGAACACCCTGCGGGAATGTTAGCAGGAAGAAATATCAGGCTATTTTTCAGGCAAGGCATTGAACTAGCCAAGCAATAACCCTACTGAAATGTTCCGTATGCGATGTTCAATAATTCCGTATGTTTCCGTAAGAATCTTACGGAAATATATGGAAAATATATGGGAAACATAAGTATTCTTTATGGAAACATATGGAATTATTGGTGTCGCATACGGAACGTTTCAGTAGGGAACCCATCTATAAGACACTGATCTTTCAGTTCGCTTTCACATTTCTTACCTCAGTCATAACACATACGACACACTGCGTAAAACAAACGAAATATGAGCCGACACAAGACAATAACCGAGACAATGTGCGCTTCTTCTAATGGCAGGCCTTGGGGTCTCGTCAATCACCCGCAATTTCAGAATTGAAATCTCATTGTGGAAAGTGCTCTGAAGAAATTTATTCCTGTAACGTTGCTCTTACCTTGGCATCATTTTTCTCCAGGAATCCCGGCCGTGGCAAAAGTGATACTCGCCATGGAAACGGGCACAATAGCTGCCAATATAAACTTTGATGAGCCTGATCCAGCCATGCGATCTTTGCACGATGGCCGCATTAAAGTGGTTGACAAGCCCACGCCATTTCACGGTGGCATGATAGGCATCAGCTCTCAGGGCATTGGTGGTGCAAACGCGCACGCCATCTTGGATTCCAACCTCGGCCCTCACGCTGAGAGTCTTCCACGTCAGAAGCCATATCTGCCGAGGCTTGTTCTTATGTCTGGAAGAAGCAAGGAGGCTTTAATGGTAAGATTTTGTGGTGTGTTTCAGTGCTCGCCAAAAAAAGCAGCTGTCCAATTGCATTGATGTCCACAAAGCCGCACGTACTCATGTTGCTACAGATCAGCAAGCGCTGCTTGTTTAAGTAAATTGCCTACTTTGCTCAACAAAGGCGAATTCATTCGCTTCACTACACGCAAGTAAACATCAAACTTGAAGTGCGTTGGGTTTCTAACAGCGGGTGTCACGTTATCTGTCCCAAGGCTGCAGCTTCACAGCTTAGATTGGAAGTTTGGCAAGAGCGGAACGGTTTCATCCTCAGTCAATGCAGCAGTCGCTTCATCTCACGCTTTTTCCTCACCCGCAAGATTCTCCGCCGAAACTTGTATAAATGTGCAGACATCTTGTAGTTCATATGAGAACACGGAGTACTGTGCCAACTGCATGAGTGAATGAATGATCTATAACTGCGTGCCAATAAATAGCATTGGTTATTAATTCTTGCATGTTTTAAGCGTATAATGTGTGAAAAAAGACGAAGTTCTCAGTGCTCAGCAGCAGTGCAATGTTACAAGGAAGGCAGGGCTGGCGAAACGAGCCTGGTGAAGGGTCGCTAGTTGGCTTTTTAATTCCAGTTGCGCCAGTCTTCTATTAGAGGACCAGTGAAGAGCAATGCTAACAGTCCGTGAATACAAAACAATGTATAGTGTTGTTTTAATATGGACCTGTTCAAATCGAGCTTAATGTGCTTTCAAAATAAAGTAGACTATCAGTACCACGAACCAACACGCCCTATCTTCGTCCCCTTCTTCTTCATGATCTTTTTGGCCACCAGGACGCATGCACTAGGAAAGAAAAAGAGCATTCATGGCTCGTTTGGGATAGTCCTGCCGTGCCGAGTGCACGAATCTCGTAAAAGAGGCTTGTCGATGTTTTTCTTGTCCCCTTATTACTCCAAGAGAGCACACTGACTGCCAAATAAAGTAAACATGCAGTTCAAGAGGGAGGTATAAGCGGTCCTGAAAAATTCAAAGCAATGTGTTTTTTTTCCTTAGAGTGTAGGCCTGTTGATGCGACTCCAACGTTCCAGCCGAGATAACTAGTACAGAAATACAGAAAGACATTGAGATAATTAGAGAGGACAAAAAGAGAGGTATATATACAAAACTTGGTGATTTAAATGGGCAGACAGGGTGACACAAAGAAACATGCAAGTAAAAGCTGTACACAAAGATAGCAAACAAGTATATGTATAGTAGAGCATCGCAAACGGTGGGAAAGTGTAGGGAGGTTGAGGAGAAAGCAACGAAGGAGTTGAAAGGGTAAAGTGTTTCACAATCTTGTGTAGTATAATATAGCAAGGGGTGCGAAAGGAAAGAGTTATTATGAAAGAAGTATAGTGCAAAATAACGAAAAGGCCAACCACGGTAAAATACACAAAAATTAAAAGACCTTTCGGCCCCCCACCTTGTTTACAGTGGCAGCAAATGGCGTAGTGCTCTCCTCTTATGTTTAGGGTAAACAGCCAGATAAGAAGAGCGCACTACGCCATTGGCGGTCACTGTGAACAAGGCTCCCGTGTGGGGAGCCATAAGTTTTTTTTTAAATTTTTGTGTATTTTACCTTTGTCGGCATTTTTGTTAATTAGCGCTATATTTGTCCCCGACCAGACGGGCCTCCATCGGACTCTTCACTATATGAAGGAAGGATGTAGACAACGTTGCCAGTTTCACTGCTTCGTCTTCGTCAACATCAATTTAGTCAAGTTTTCTCTTCATTAAGCAGCGAAGCGTCATCGCCAACTTCGTCAGATAATGCATTGCGGTTTCAGAGATGTCAGACAGAATATTGCTTCTTCCATATAATTCAATGCATTTTTTTTTGTTTACAACGATGACATCGTGATACTTTTGTAAATTTATAAATTTACTTTTTTTAACTCTTGGAAGTTGCTCAATTTTTCGAACGATAAACTGAATACTCTGATGGCATCTCTCAAAAACCGAGTAGCTACTATATTGCCTTGATTTCGAGGAAGTAGGTCTGAGTCTGTGTGAAGCTTACATAACAGCATGAGAAAGACACAGCACACACAGAAAAGGATTTCACACAGCGCTGTGAGCGTTTCCTTTCTATTGGTTCTGATTCTTTCTCAAGCTGATTCATAGGTTTGTACAACCAACAAGCCAAGTTGTCCGTACATCTGACTGAAGGCGTGGCGAATTCATTCGAGATAATTGCAGAAATATAAATTTAGGGGCACGTGAAATGGTTCCAAGAGGTGAACATTGTGTCCACTCTCACCACATTGGTGTTTCTTATAACAATTTCATGAACACGTAGTTGAATAAATGAAGAAAAAATACTTAGCGTTAATTACAGATGATCGGGAATAATACAAACATGGATAGAATAGCACTCTTTTACAACAATACTTTGAGTAGAGCCCAAACCTTTTTTTTCTTTCTACACAAAGGAGCCACGGTATAGAAGCACGAGTAGCCTTTACTTCTTTTGCACGCTTTAGAAAGTTTATGCACGCACCATGCGAGTTATCGTATTTTCCAGGGAATATGTGGTGCAGCAGCACGCTTGAAGACCTAATGGGCAAAGCGTTTGCAAATATAACCCAACTAACTGTCATTGTGAGCACAAACATTATTATTCTCTTTTCTCTCACTTTTACAGCAAACACTGAACCGAATAGAGGCCGAGGGCCCGTACCCGGACTCCGGTTACGCCTTGCTCAACCGGATTGGTCAGCGAAGCATCAAGCAGTTTCCGTACCGAGGATTTGCCATCGTGCCAGTGGACAACATGAAAAAGGAGGTGGTGAAGGTAGTAGAGCGGGCTCGGCCAGAAAAACGACCCATCTGGTTCGTCTTCACTGGCGTCGGCTGCCAGTGGAGTGGTATGGGATGCCATATGATGCAGTTCGAACCTTTCGCTGAGTCCATCCGCAAGTCACACACCATCCTGAAGGAGAAAGTCGGAGAAGACCTAATGGATATGCTGATCTCTAACGAGCCCCAGTCCAAGACAATTAAGGGACATTTTGCCTCGATTTCTGCTGTTCAGGTATCACAAGCACCACGTCACACAAAACGTTTCGCGAAAAACTGTGTGTACCAGAAATCTCTCTCTCTGTCTCTCTTTATAGCTATATATATATATATATATATATATATATATATATATATATATATATATATATTTATATACATATTGAAGTAGATCCTCCGTCAGTGGTCACAACGTGGTTTATCTCGACGTTTCGGCCTAGAGTCTCGCCTTCATCAGGATTAAAGGTACAGTTTGTTGGTGCTCAGCTTTATACAATCTCAAATCAGAAGGAAAGACGAAAAAAGACAGAAAAAAAGAAAAACAGAAATGGAAATGAAAACAAAGGAGGGAAAAAAGAAAAAAAGATAAAAAGAATATAAGGTGGACTTCTCCCCCGGGCGCCCCCTTCCACTCTTCCTTCCACTTGCCCCTTCATCTCTCTCCCTTTTCTCCCCTTCACCTCTCTGATGTGAGCGGTCTGTGTATGCTTCCTTTCACTAACGCATTCTTCCCGACCAGACGGCGCTTCCTGGCTCTGGCGGTTTGGTGTCCTAAAAAAGCTCTTTTTTGCCCCACACCGAACCGCGAGATGAGTCAGATTTTACATATTCAGAAACCATAGCCGCTATTCCGTCATGGTGGGGTATGTTGGTGTACAGTGAGCAGACGTCCATGGTCACCAGAAAACTGCCGCCTGGGATGTCGAGACTTGAATTTTCGCAGATGAAGGGGTTTGTGTCCTTTAGGTAATAGGGAAAATTTGGGGGGGTGTTTTTTATTAAGGAATTGATGAATTTTGATATATTTTCTGTTGATGTGCTGTTACTGGATACTATCGGACGTCCCGGTTTACCTGCCTTGTGTATTTTGGGGAGCAAACAGAATCGACCGGGAACAGAATGGGCCGGTAACATTGCTTTTAACATTTTGCCGGTAATTTTCTCGTCCCGGTGGAGATTGTTTAGGGTTACTTTTATCTCCCTTTCAAATTCGGGAGTCGGGTCCGTTGAAAGTTCTTTGTAGAATTTTGTGTCTGATAGCTGTCGTTCCCCTTCCTTTAAGTAGTCCGACGTGTTTAGGATTACTATGCAGCCCCCTCTATCAGCCGGTTTGATAGTAATTCCAGTGTTTTTTCGTAGTTCATCGAGTGCCCTTCGTTCTGACTTTGATATGTTGTTTCGAAATGGCCGATTTTTTTCATACGCTCTGATGATATCTTTTTGAACTGCTGATATATACATATCGAGGTGTTTGTCCCTCTGCTCACCCGGACACCATGATTTGTCACCACCAATCACTCTATTCTCGTCCGTACAGTCCTTGCGATCATGAAAGTATTCACGGAGGCGGAGATTACGCGCAAAGTTATCGAGGTCTTGGTCACTTCAAATTCATTGAATCTACCGGATGATGGACAAAAGGTCAAGCCTTTCGACGAAAGTTGAAGCTGAGCGGGTGTGAGTGTTGTGTTTGACAGATTGAGGACATTTTCCTCATAAGTTTTCGGCTGCTCTTGGCTATCACGTGGCACGGGAGTGTCAGCGTCATATTCGAGAGTAAGGATGTTTTGGTTAGAATTGCACTGTAGTTTTGAGTTCCCATTTTTCTCCTCAAAGTTAGGTTGTGGTACGGGTGGTCCCTGGCGTTCTTGTACGGCCTCATTCCTATTTTCCTGTTGCAGAGCAGTGGAGCTACTGCAGTCACGCTTGAATTTTCTATCTTTTACTACTGAAATTTCGCCTCTCTTCTTTAGTTCATATCTTTCCAGTTCTCTTGCCTCATGCTCTCCGAGATTAAATACCAATTTCTGCGTGGCCTCCGTGACACTGTATTCGGCGGCCTTACGCTCACTATGGTCCGCAATGACCCGAGTCAGTTGCAAGGACGCTTCTAGTAATATTTTTTCCCACTTCCCCCTTTCTGTTTCACTTAGTGTAGACATTGAGGGGTTGCAGGCTAGGCGGAGGCCCTTAGGTGAAATTTCGTGAGATAGATATTTGGTTAGTTGTTCCACGTGTTTTTCGTATTGCACCCACTTTGCAATGATTTTCCTAATCGATAGAAATGAGTGGGACCATGCGTGTTTAAGACTGCCCGTACCTTTTGTTTCCCCGTGTCATTCGGAAGCCGCCGCCTTGGTCTTCGCCGCATTCGCACACACACATATATATATGTGTGTGTGTGAGTGTGTGTGTGTGTGTGTGTGTGTGTGATTTTAGGGGTACAAAGTGAAGGGACCTGTGTGATAGTGAGTTGAAAAGAAGGACTTATGTCGTATATTGGCATTCGGTTGGGCGAGGCTCCATTAGACACAGCATTCGACAATGTAAGGCGTACCAGTATGACGTTAATGAAACGTGTTTCGTACGTGCTTCCCTCTCTGCTATTGTGTTCTATATAGGCATGGTGGCAAAAATGGCCATGAAAACACTAAACATGGAAGTGTTTATTTTGTCATTTTTGACCATAACCTGGACTTGATCATACCTGATAAATTTAGACTAGTCTGAACTGTTGAAATCAGCACTTTTGTTGTTACTGTAACCTCCTATTTGTCCTTAAGAGGTGCGACATGGGGCCGACATAAGCATTATTTGCTCCCTATCCAGACTGAAGCTCGTTCGTAAAATATTCGCAGGGCAGGTGTCCATTCCTTTGCGCGCTGTAGTTCTGAACAGTCCGTTGAACTTCGCTAGGAGAATCTTGCACGGCTTCGAATCACCGCAATGCACACACACACACACACACACATCGAGAAATTTATGTTTGTTCGTTTTGTTGATTATTTTTAAATTATTCATATATTTACTAATTTCGATAACTTCAATGTCAAACGCCATTAGAGAAGTGAGTGGTAGTTAAAACGAAACATCATGTAATTGTTGGCCGCTTTGTCAAGCAATTGTCTTCAATGACAAATTTCATTGCAGAAGTACTTGGAGTGAAATTGATGTATGTGGGGCATAGAAAAGAAGTTAATACGGGAGAAGCACACCTCAAACTATTGACGGTGGTTAGTACAGCCGGATGAATTTTATAGATCACTAATCAGTTTGTACTCGAGTTTATGGAAAGTTTAATAAAATTTTGAAAAGCCTGACATATTAGGGCGGATGAGAAAAGTTCTGAATGTGCAGTGCATGACGATTGTTATAGTGTGCGCTCGGAACGACGACAAAGGCACAAGAACGCGAATGCTCAGGCTTGTCGATACAGATTGGAAAAAAAAAAGCGGTCCAAAGACCGTACATTATGCACTCGAAACATAACTGGAAAGAAGCAGGAATGACAATTCGTAGCTGTCACGTTTTGCAGCCCGTATTGAGGGCATTTATGTATCAGCAATGCACGCAATAAACGGGGCCCTGCTTCATTCCCCTATCGTGGCTTGAGAGTGCCTAACTGAGCAGAAACTACGTGTTTTTTTTTTCAGTATTCAGCAAGCAGTCAGTGGTGCTCTAAGATATAGCATTGGCGTTTTTATTAAGCCCCTGGTGTGATGGTGTAGGTCAACATGGTATTCTTGCAGCGTGCCTATCTATCATGTGTACTCGCGCATGAAAACATTCAAGGTAATGCAGCCTAATGTCAGAGTTTGCAATACACACTCATGGCAACGGTTCCAGCTCACTGGAGATATAGTGGCCCTTGACATCTCAAAATTTGCGCCTAGCAAAAGAAGCATGCTTTATGACACCTAGGTGCAGCCGCACGAGCCTAGCCCCAAATCAACATGGCTGATATTATTGTGCACTTCAGTTCTAGAGTCACAGTTAAAGTTACATAGTATTGGGCAGCAAGTGGGTGTTTGTTTTACCCTTCGAAAAACATCATCTTGAAAAGCACCCTACCCAAACCACACTTTTTTTTTGAAAAGATCGCAAGAGGGAGCTGATATTAAAAGAAGGGGTCAATACACATCAGCAAACAGAGCGCCATGCCCGTAAATGACTGAAACAATTGCAACGTGGGCATAGTATACTCTCACACCATATCCTTGCGCTCTTGGGCCACCTGAAAATTGTTAGCTAAGGTATCAACTTCGAGGTGACATACCTTCCACGAATTGACGATTTTCTTGAAATAAAAGGAACGACACTGTCTAAAGGCAGCGTGGTATTTGGTTCGAAATGCTCCCATTATTTTTATTATAATAAATGTCCTTTGTTTCACCCCTGAAGACACCCGAAGGGGTATGCATGAGGGAACAGACAAACAAATGAAAGCGATGGACATTTACACAACGCAAGGCGAGATTATAGAGCAACACTAAAGGGAGCTAAACTCAATAATAAAATAAAAATACCAGATACATGAAAAACATGAGTAATATAGAAGAGATGCAAAATTGACTAAGGCAAACATATATTCGGGGCGCCAAAACTTCAGTATACATAAAAAAGAATACAAAATCATATAACACGAAACAGCATGCCCCATGTTTGAAACAATGGTCAACATGTTCTCGGAATCGCAAAAACTGAAAATTTTAAAATACAAAAATGAAGCTAAAATATATCCCTTGCAAAAACGACGGCAACACTGGGTGGCGGCATCCATGGTAAAGGAAGAAACCGCCACAACAAGCGTGCGTTCGCTCGGCTCCGTTCTTTTCTATTCCGCTTTTGTTATAGCAGCGGCGTCCCATGGTATTCTGCGCTGAAGTAGATGTAGCGCTCTGTCGTCGGCTTACCTCGGTAAAACTCAACTAGCTTGTCTTCATTTAGAGGCGAAAGGCAGAATGGTCACTTTCTCATCTGGTAATGGAGAAAAGAATCGCGTAGGACGCCACTGCTATAACGAAGGCGGAATAAAAGGAACGCAGCCCAGCAGACGAACGTTTTTAAAGACGATTGTCTTTTAAAGATGATGGTCTTACTTGGGGACTTTCAACGCAAAAATTTTGGTCTCTCTGTCTGTCTGTACATTTGTCGGTTTGTCCACTTTTAAAGACATCGGGTATTTAACACAGTCGAACCCATCCGCCGCACCCACCAATCTTGCTCAAGATTTTTAGCTCTCATACTTGTGCAATTGTCAATTAAAAAGCAATTTTTGCGCATGTCTGGGGCACCTTAACAACACGTATATATTCTGCATGTGCGTCTTTTACTCGAAAAGGCATACATAGGTAATTTTAAGGACTGTAGCGCTTATCACGCTGCTCTGACCATGCAACGCTTGCACGAAAAGGCGAGTGTTTCCAACGCTTTGCTAAGACGATACGGTGGTGGCACCTACGAATCGCCTTCCGTTCTACACCTTATCACCTCTGAGACGGGCGCGCACACTCGTCTCAGAGCCACACGCTTTGTTTTCCAAGAAAACTGCTAGGTGGCGCTCATTTTTCACGTGTGACGTGACTTGATGCGCTTCTTAGCCTCCACTGCACGCTCGAGGGACTCTAACGAAGCGCCTCCAGAATACCATTCCCCGATTTTCTTGCGCAGAACATCAAATAAATGTTTTGTTTCCTCTCTCCAACCGCAAGCTTGGCTATCGTATTTCGACGGCATTCGCAGGTTAACATACAGATATGGGGCCAATTTTTTGTGGTCGTTTCTTTCTTAACCATCGACGCGGCCGCCAAGTGTTGCAGTCGTTTTTGCAAGGTGTCTATAGTACACGTGGTGTATAGCTACTCAGAAATCATCTTTAAACTTTACGAATTCGGCTTGAGTGGCAACGAGGGATCATAGGTTATTTGTTTAGTGTATTTTTATGGAAATGAAACGATTAGCAAAATGAGCTGAACGACATGTTTTTTGTTTGATCTTGTAGATAATACCTGTGCGTGGAAAGGTATATTTGTAGGCGTTCTGAAGATGTGGTGAAGTTAAGAGTGATGGATGAAATTTGTATATTAGCGAAAAGAGGGCCATTGTACCAAGAAGTCGTCCAAGTGAGAGCCATCTTTTACAATTGTAGCGTTTGTATGGAGATATAATTACACAAAATGAAATAAACCATACGGATTTCTGGAGATTCGACTTTAGAAGTGTTGTAGATTTGCCTGTGATTCTAGATATCATATGCCTATTCCATTTCAGCGCGTAATATCATGATGCAGATGTAGTCTCCGAAGGTTATCTGGAGCAAACTTCAGCTTATTTATAAGGAGACCTTATGAGAGCTTAGCCGATGTGAACGTCAGGCGGATGTCATGACGTTATAGAGGGTCTCACCGTGCGGGAGCACGACGTTACTTATATATAGAGCTTTAAGTTGATTAGGTTATTATTGATAACATCTCGTGTCAGTTCTTTTCACCATGTTCATACGATCTTTAGCCAATGACTAGTACATCATTGGGGTGCACCGTGCAGCCTTCGTTCATTTAAAGGATACTGTTTTGAATTAAACGAACCCGTAAATACGCTAGGAGGCTCAACACTTCAATCAGCACGCTATTGATTTCATACAAGTTTCACGAAGTGCTAGAGGCTATCTCACATTTATGATCTTCTGCGACATTACTCGTTGCTTTTTTTTGGCTACGCAAGCATTTTATCTAAACAGGTTGCGTCTTTCACGCTCAGGTAGCGCTCGTGGATACGCTTCAAGCTCTGAGAATCCAACCGGACGGCATGTTGGGTCATTCGGCTGGCGAGGTTGGCTGCGCCTATGCGGACGGGTGCTTCACCGCGGAGCAAGCCTTGCTTGCCGCTTATTGGCGAGGTCGCTGCTTAGAGATGGAATATACGTTCGACGGTGCCATGGCGGCTGTAGGTGAGCTGTCTGCTTCACGGGGCCTTTTCCGAGTGCATCTAAGTGGATGAAATATCTATAGAAGTGTATTAGTCAGTAGACTACAGATGCTTTATAAAATGTAAAAATTGTTCAAGCTCAGCTGGTTCTGTCAGCGGTCTTTCTTAGGGCAGAGAAATTCTTATCAAGCACTTTACGCAAGTGTTGCCCAATCACTCCTCATGAAATTTAAATGGGTATTCGGAGCCTTGTAAGCTCGGCGTGAAGAAAGAATAATACAAAAAAGCAGAAACCAGCCATTTAGAGTAGATCGAACATCGTGACAATAGAATATTGGTGTTGTATTACAATGATGATGAAAATGAAAGTGGTAGAGTGGGTGAACAGTGTACTCAAATGTTTGTCGCGGGGGCTTGGGGGAAGTGGAACGGGTGTGTCCACCTACAGATTGTACATTTGTGTTTGTGTTTGCATGTGTGGGCATAAACCTGCATTTGCCGAAGAAGCCTTCGAGTATATTACTTACAGGCCTACTGCACAGTAGTTTCAGGCATCGCCGTGTGAACAAGATGGCATCCGTACACCAAGAACACCGTTGATCCTGCGCCGTTACACCGTTGAATTACACCGTTGATCCTGCGCCTTCCAGCATCCATGCAACGTTCACTGCTCTGTACGAATACGCGCATGCAAAAGAGCGAAAAAAATAATCTGCGTGAGGGCTTAACGCAACCCACCCTCCTTTTGGCTCTGCCACTGGCCCAATGCAAAATGTGATACTTAAATTATCAGTTTTAGATTTTTAATGGTATACTTAGAAATGTAAAATAGAATACTACAGACTTACTAGAGCTCAAACTTTGCATGAAATTATTTGTGTGACATTTTTCCAAAACCCGCCTTCCAGATTGAGACCGAGAGAACGGAAAAGTACGGCTCTAAGCACCGTAAAAGAAATATCAAATTGTTTTTATTCATTACAGACAAAATTTACAAAAAATAATAAAGCGTGACCTGTCCTTGGGAAGCCGTAGTTTGACTAATGTATTTCAAATTTCTGTTTATTTAAATTGCTACCGGCAATATTAAATGCTGCCAAGTATGATTAAGCAAATGGTGTCTTAAATATTGTTCATTCCTATGAACAACCACAAAAAAGCCATCTATCTTCGTGGTGGTGCATAGCCACTGCCATAACTAAAACGAAAAGTGGCACATGCCACGTCCCTTAAGAATCATGTTAAGCGAAGCATGCGGCGGGAAGGTGACTGTGTTGTAATTTTGGTATTCATTCAAACGTTACGAAGTGGCGTAAAAAATGTGCACAAATGCACACACAGAAATACATTAAACAGCAGCATGTGTTTTTTTATAGCCAGTTGTGTACGGTTGCGTACTAATGTCTAACAAAACAAGGGTATTAGCAGCACCAGACACGGTAAGAAAAATGAAACGCTGATGACCGCGAAGAGGATCACCAAAATTGTAGCCCTGGACACTGCTACATCGATGAACTTCAGCGGATGGCAACTAACTACAAATGACGTACCCGACGTTACGTCTCTATTAAAGCAGTACACGTGAATTCGAAAAGTAGTAGTGAGATTAGACGTGGCTCTGTGGTAGAATACTTGCTTGCCACGGAGAATTCTGGGGTACTCAGGTCAACTCTGCCGATGTCCGCCCTTCTTCAACGCTCACGTGCAGAAAATACTCAAGTCTGTTCTCGTAGTTCCTTGGGATAGATAGATAGATAGATAGATAGATAGATAGATAGATAGATAGATAGATAGATAGATAGATAGATAGATAGATAGATAGATAGATAGATAGATAGATATGCTCACAGTGTATGTAGTAAACAAACAAAAGCAATCACTCAGGGATCTCGAATACCTTCTACCTAAAACGCCTGAATCGTAAGTGGACGAGAATCAGCCCTAATGACAATAGTAAGAATGAAATTCACTTCAGAATGAGTGCACACCCAGGCATCGTGCGGGAAGTGGAAGTACTTGGCGTAGTACGATGCAGTGGCCATAGAATAGTAAGGTCTCAAATTCACCTCTACATGAAGAACATACGACATAAACTGATATACAAGAAGGGAATCAGTGCTAGCTCCGGGAGGAAATGCACAGACATTAGGTCTCGCTTCAGAACAGGTTTTTGGTGTTAAAGCTTGTGAACAAGAAGGCAGCTGCAACATCTCTCATGGCTAACTGTTTAATCCGAACCCAGCATCTTGCTTGGCAGTATATACACATAGGTTGCGGTGCGTCAGCATTAACGTCATCATGCTTTCTGCTTTTATTAGATGCAACACTCCTTCTCCCTTGTCTTGTTTCATATCCATAATTGTCAGGTGTTTTCCAAATCAGCGTGCTTCGGCATGGCAAAGGTTCAGGAGGTAGTTCAGCGGCGGTGGACTGTGTAGCCTTCGTAGTTGGTTCATGGATCGCGGTAGAAGTTTCCTCGGTTTCCACAGGAATTGCCGGACCAGGTTGCGCTAGAGGTGTGCCTGAGATGCCCCTCTACTGGGTAGGGTAAGAGGAGTCCTTGTGTAATTGACAATGAATTCAGCATGCATAAATCGCTCCTGACCTTGCACTTTAACTATGTACGTTACCACACTGACACACTGACACGACAAACAATCGTTCCTTCTAACAAGTGCGGCTTGCCTGGTCGGATGCCTTTCATCCGGATCCGTCCTCCTGGTTTAAATTTCCTCCTGTTCTTTTTCTGTTCCTGGTCTCGATTTCGAGATGAAGTAGGCTTTGACCACTTGGCTAATTCAAGGCGCAAAATGCTGAGACGTTTGCGCGGTGCCCAAGACAGGAAAGTCTCTGCAGAAGTCTTAACAGGTGTGGAGCATTGCGTGTGGTGGTATGTGAAGAGGAAGTGGCCTAGTCGATGTTGAATTTTCTGGGCTTGCCCCGAGCGCCTCTCGTCCTGTGGTGGGCGTAAATGGTTTTTCTTTACCGTCTAGCCAATATTGCCTCTCTGCTGCCCCTTTCGAAGCCGGATGGTATGGTGGTGTCTTAACGTGTTGCACCGCATTGGATTTGAGGAAAATTGCAACACCGTCAGACGAACTAAGGACCATTATCTGTCCCAATCTGTTCGGGAAGCCCAAACGCTTGAAAAACGGTTCAAAAAAGCTTTTCTACAGTCGTCAATACCGTGGTCTATTTCGAGTGTATGTTGCCCACCCAGTTATAATAGGCATGGACCAGCACCACAAACCAGTCTTGCTTGAAATATGCAAATCAGGATGCACTCGTTGCCACCATCTAATGGGCCATCCCCGTGACATGAGTGGTATGGTAGGCGTAGCGTTTCGGCTGAGCTGGCAAGTTGAACAGCGTCTAATCGCCTCTTCGATCACTTCATTTAGCTTCGGCTACCTCACATGACTTTTTGACAGCATTTTCATGTGAGTGGTACCAAGGTGTCCCTCGTGCAAATGCTATAGCACTTCTGACGGCAAAGATTCAGGAACCGCAACTCTTGTGTCCCATGTTAAAGTTAGCGTCTAGACAGAGTCTAAAAACAGGTTGTTTCGCGGGACAAAATAGGGTGAAATGTTAACATCTGATAGTCTTTCAAGTAAGCCATTCAAAACGAACAGTATGACTCCATACAACGTGGGGTCTTACTCAGTTTCTGTTTTCACCTTGCTTGCAGAAGGCGGTACCGCCTCAACAGCAGAGAAAAGAGAAGGTAGTCACTCTTGTCTGCTTCGTTCGGAAGCAGCAATTGTGATAGCACGTCGGCTTTAGCCACTTGCGCACCCTTTCTACAAGCATAGTCCTACTGGTAAGCCGCCAGTAGAAAGATCCAGCGTCACATGCGAGCGACAGCCATATCTCGAATTGGTTTTCTCTGGCCAAGCAGGCTAGCTAGGGGCAGGTGATCAGAATAAATTGAGAACTCGCACCCGTAGATGTATTTATGAAAGCACTTTACCCACCAAAGCCAGTGCCTCCTTCTCGATATGCACGTAGCCCTTCTCGGAGCTGCTTAGCGTGCGTGACGCGCATCCTACAGGCGTTTCTTGGCCGCAAGCAAAATGAAATAAAACAGCTCCAACTGCATAAGGGGATGCGTCGCAAACTGGAACTAGTGTTTTTTAGGATCGTAGAACGTTAGTACTGAATTCTTAGTGAGCATTTTCTTGCTTTTATGAAATGTCTTTTCAGTCTCCTGCGACCATGCTCAAGGTTCATCTTTTTGAAAAAGTTGATAAAGTGGCCTTAGCTCAGATGACATGTTCGGCATGAACCGTGAATAAAATGTCAAACATCCAAATACGCTTTCACTGCCGTGAAACTTTCCTTTGTTGAAGTTTAATTGCTTTCACCTTTTCAAAGCAAGGGCGCACGCTGTTACGAAATACGGTGACGCCAACACGGTCCCAAAGGCGCCACTGCTCCGATCTCCACCGACACGGTGACCAGCCGTTTGGTAGCGAAGGTTTCTCAGCTCGTGACTACTTCTGCGGAGAACTGATAGACGAGCGGACGAGACAACGGTGAGTTAAAGGTTAATGTACAGCATAGAAAGACAGGCGTTGCAAATTCGGCACTGGGGCTGACAGTTTAGAGACTTGAAGAGCCGAGCTCTCTTCTCTGACACATAGGTCTACCGCTGTCGACGCGCCGCAGGGCTATTTTTAAGGCACCGGGTGGATCTTTTGAGTAACCAAATGTCCAACCAGAAGCGCCGCTGGCCGTGAGGCCAGAATCCTCCAATGGGGCTCGCCGCTGGGCCCCGTCATTCTCATCAAATACGAAGCCGCTGCGCGTGGTTGCAGCCAAGGACGAGTGACGTTGCCACGCATTGCGTAAGACTTGCCAGACTGGAAGGCACCGATTGCTTCGACGGGCTCGTGGGCTGAGGGGGCTCGCTGAGCGTTGCGCGACAGACCGGCGCCGTCGCATGATGACGCCGTTGAGTTGTTCGCGTCAGGCGAGTCCGCGTGCTGGCCTTGGCACAGATTGTCTTTTTCAGAGGCATGGACTTTCGGTGTGGACGCGCAGGCGTAAAAACGCCTGTCTCATCAATGACGTGGCCCAGATATCTCACGAACCTTTACAAAAATTTTCTTTATCTGTGCTTCTCGAAACACTGCAGGACTACTACTCGTGACAGATATTCGTTGTAGCAAGCCCCTGTGATAAGCACGTCAGCAAAGTGACAAGCTACGCCACTTAGTCCCTCTAGCAATTCGTCCATGATTGCTTGGAATACCGCTGGTGCACCGGAAATGCCATAAGGCATTCGAACAAGTATGCTGACGTGTGTATCTATATTCAACAAGGGCCACGAGTGCTGGTACGCTGACGACAAGTCCAAAATGGTAAACAGTTTACCATCAGCTAGGACCGCGAATATGTCTTCAACAGTTGGTAGCGGGTACTGATCACTTATTTTTATTTTATTTACAAATACTGCTGTCTCACAGTTCGAGACATTTCAGGAGTGGGTCCATAACAGTGAATACACACTAAACTAACAAAACACATGGTTTGGCAGTTCATTCGAAAAACTATTGGTAGGCAACTTTCGGAGAGAAACATCCAGATTATTCCACAATTCCACTGTGAAAGAAAAAAATGAAAACTTAAAACAATCTAGAAATGGCATGAAGGGTGTGATGTTAATGGGGTTTGACCTGCGAGTGTTTGCAACGGAGTTGGCAAAGGAAAAGGGCATGTCAATGGTGATTATCTTGTTCACGATTTTATGTAAAGTGCCGATACGCTCGCAAGTACGTCTGTGTTCAAATGATTTGAGTGATAGACGTACAGCGTGTGACGAAGGCGAAAAATGAAGCTACAGCGCAGGGATTCGCTGTAGCTTCATAGTCTCCATGAAGACGCACTTTGTTCCCTGTTTTTTTACTAGCACCACAGGCGTGGCCCAATCACTTTGCGTTACAAGCAGCAGTACCCAATCTGCTTGTAAGATATCTAGGTCTTCTTCAGCTCGCTCCCTCATGGCATATGGTACTGGAGGTGCCTTGCAGAAGACTGGAAAGCTACCGTTTTTTAAACGAGTTTCACCTTAAAGCCCTTTATTAGTTCTAGCGTAGGAGTGAAAACGCTGGCATACCTTTTCACAAAGTTGTCTGTCGTGGTATCCGCTTGCACCGTGTGAATTCCATTCAGGTAGATGTGCAGGTTCTCTATGCAATGGCGCTCGAGAAGCGCTGGCTTGTTTCCTGGCACCATAACTACTGGTAAAATCTATCGCTGTCTGTTGTACTCGACTGGAACCTTGGCTTGCACCTTCACTTCACGCGGTGCTCCTCCGTAAAGTTTCATCTTCCCTGTACACTGTGTTACAAGCGAAGGATTCGCTAGCTGCTTCCATAATTCTTTTGATATCAGAGAAACAGCGGCTCTTGTGTCTACTTGCATCTGCATACGCTTTCATCCAAGCATAAGTTCTACCTCATACGGCTGCTTCTCAAGGCTGGTGTGATGTATGGCGTAGAGCATCATCTCTATATCTTCTTGCTGCTCGGCAACGGCATGAATTTTTTTCGTACCTCGTGGACGTTGTCCACAGACTCGAGCCAAGTGACCCATGCATTTGCAGCTGTAGCCCTTGCTTTTCGATAAAGACTAGGAGTAGCATCGTGCTCTTGCCCGCAAAGGGGACACGTTGTCTTTCTTGCATCACGTTGCTTGACTGGCTTGACCACAAATGTCGCTTTTCTGCCCGACTTCCGTATCGCATGGACGTCAGCTTCCAAGCAACTGCCAGGTATAAACCCTCTCGACTCCTATTAGGACATTTCAATGCTTTTGGCGAAGTTGCAAGAGTGTTCAAACGACAGCTCTTTTTTTGGCAGACACGTCTGAATAGCAAAGTCTTGTGGTCCTGCGACGAACGTCGCTGGACAGCGTAGTGTTTAATCAAGAAATGTGCCGTACTTACATTTGGCGGCCTTGGGCTTCAGTGCAACTCCAAACGTTGCTACAGTCTCACCTTCCACTTGGTACCGCCTGTTCAATCTGAATCGTTCTTTGATAATTCGGCTTGCAGTCTCATTATGCTCATTCAGTATGCTGATCAAATTTATGAGACTCTTCTCCGCAGGGTTCGCCGATAGAAGCAAATTCTTGAACGTCTTGTACCCGTCCTTGCCAATGGTCGTTATGAAGGCAGACTTCTTAAGCTTCTCTTCTTGTACGCTGGCTACTTGGCGGTAGTGCCGGAATTTTTCTACGCACGAACCAAAGACTTCATCACCATCTTTCAGGAATGCATCGAATTCCCACATCTTTGCCATGCCGAGCGTGCACTCTGCCCTGCCACATTCCTTCACGGAATCCGCCCTTTCGCAAAGCAGATTCGATTCAACATCCTCGTCCTCAGTTGTTGTAGCTTGCAAACAAGAAGGCAGCAGAGACACGTTTCTCGGCGAACAGTTCATTCAGCACCTAGCATTAGCTTGATGCTGTATACACATAAGTTGCGGTGAGTTAACATTCACGTCACTGCGCTTTCTGCTATTATTCTCGAGGAAACCGGCCTTAGCAATGACTGAATGAATGATGATATGTCCAGTATGATTACAGATTGTCCAGTGAAAGTTGGAGATACCGAAGTTAGGCAGGCTATTATTCTCGAGGAAACCGGCCTTAGCAATGACTGAATGAATGATGATATGTCCAGTATGATTACAGATTGTCCAGTGAAAGTTGGAGATACCGAAGTTAGGCAGGACACCGGCAAGCTGTCCCATGGGACGAAGAACCTCTAAAAAGAACATCAAAGCATAAAAATCTCGAAGACAACAGAGAAAATATGACTGGTAGAGATTAAGAAATAGATTATATAGCGTTAGGTATCCTATTTAGGAAGGTTTAACACCTAGATAGTTTACCATGCTCAATAGAACGGGGGAAGCATCAAAGCGGTGAAGAGGGCGTTCGAGATAGGTAAAAACAACATTTATGCACTGCGGGGCAAGGAAGGCAAAGTACCCATCATTATTGACAGGATAGTAAAAGTAGCGGAGGACTAATCTGTACAGTAGTCGGGACAACCATTTTGGAGTAACCCAGAGTACAACTCACCAGTAATGAGAGAATAAATCAGGAAAGCCTTGCAGGAAATTCAAAGAGGAAAGACTGCTTAGGATGAAGTTACATGAGATATTCTGAAACACGACGGACAAATTGTGTTAAAAAAAAGAAGCCGCCCTGTTCAGAAAGTTTGCGGGTATAAACTAACAGTGGCAAGCACATGACCAAGTTGGCTGGCGGAACATGGCAGAGGCGTTTGTCCTTCAGTGGAAATAGTCAGGCTGAACATGATAATATGGCCTTTTGTCGCTATAGGTAGATGTTGCTAGGTTGATATTACGTTGATTTCACACAAATAAAACGCGTAAATCGGGCATGTTGTCATTGGCCTAAACCTTCCACCACCTCATAGCCTACGCGCAGCCACCGTTGCCTCTCCTATTGCATTGCATTTTGCTGTTGCGCGTACTCATAGTCAGCGGCTCGCAGATCGCAGAATCGAATTGCGGCCTCGGTGACTGCACTTAAAATAAAGGTGAAAACGCTCAAGGCCAATTTACTACCCACTCTTGCTACACGTTAAAAAACACCAGTTAGTCGATATTTCCAGAGCCCTCTTCTATGGTGTCTCTCCTAAACAAGTCATGGTTAGGAAGCGTTACATCCCTTCAAATATTAATATATTTTATGAACATGTATTCAGAATGCAGAGATCTTATGGTTCTTGCATCTTTTCTTCCGAATTGTTTGTTTTTTCGTAGAAGGCTTTTTATGCTGTGTTCTAAAGATAATGACCATGTAGCAGCTCTATTGCCATATGTCTCCTTTTTGCCAATGTATGTGCTCTGCTGTGTGTTTGGAGCAGCCTTATTGAAAAATGTATAAATGAAATGACTTACCGTCCCAGTACATTTCTCAGAGTACCAGCTCAACGTGTGGCGCACTGCATACATTAAAAATAATTTTAGCAGGCACGCAGAAATTTTTTGTACATTCGCCAGACAGATCTGATTGGAAATCATTTTTACCCAACTCGTGCATTCAGCTTGCGTGCCATTTCAACTACGCCAACATGCTGCCTTTTTCCGAGCTACATGACATAGTAGAAAACATAAGGAAGTGCGACTTCTAGATATGTTGCACGTGAATGTTATTGATGTCCATTGTCCGGGAGAGTATAATTCTCTAAACATGGATTTTCTATTGCTTTCAAGAACTTTAAACTACACATAAATCTCTAGGTCTCACGTGGGAAGAGGCAGAACGGCGATGTCCTCCCGACGTGTACCCTGCGTGCCACAACGCTGAAGATTCTGTGACAGTTTCCGGCACTGCCGAAGCGGTAGAAAAAATGGTCGAGCAGCTACAAGCCGAGAACGTATTCGCCCGCAAGGTGGACAGCATGGGAGTTGCTTTTCACACAAAGTACGTCCACCACATCGGCCCTCTCTTCCGTAGCGCCCTTGAAAAGGTAATTGCGTTAGAACGGCGGCAGATAAAAACTGCCCAGTAAGCTCATGTTTAAGAATCTGGCTGAATATCTTGCTGGCATATTTGTAACAAAAGTGGCACAGTTGATTTATAGACCATCAGAACAACTTCAACTACTTCAGCACATAGCGGGAAAGAACATCTGGTCGAGCCGGCCACCAGAATAGACCAGAGTGCTCCGCACTTTGGTGCTCACCGGCTCGGCAAGGCCATTGTTTTTTGTTTATGATATGCACTGAACACGTTGATGTGCGAAAACCCAACCTGCCCTATCTCTTGCACTCCAGGTCTTCAGAAGAGGTGCATAAGTTCTCCTTTACCCCACACAGCTCCTTGTACTTATTTGAAAGCTCAATAACTCTCCAATTCACAAAACAAATTTCGTTGACTTTCAATATACCTAAATGAAGACGAACCTTTTTGATGCTTCATCATATTTGAAAATTTACCGTCGGTGGGGTCACCTTTCAGTGTAGCTGGCATCGACAAGAGAGATTTAATATTTTCTGATGACGTCACCATGGGACTTCATCACGACGTCACATATACTCGTACTTTGTGACAGCATTATTAGTTTCTCACGACATGACATTTGCACTCAACGTGGCTACGTTGAACGCTTCAACACTATTTATTGAGGCTAGACTAGCTGTGCTACTCAAAGAATTACGGTGTCAAATGGGATGTAACAGAACAAAACGAACTTAGGAGGACAAGCGAGACTTCTTCAGTGCAGAAACACGGACACGTCGTATTCTACTGAATTAGAAGAGAGAAAATACTAAGGGTGCGTTTTCTCATACACAGAAATATTGATTGAACCATAAAATACTACTCTAGTTTCAGTGGGAGGGTGGCAAGTAATGTAATTATGTTTAACAAAAAGTACATAATGAAGGTTTAGAGGTGTGCGCACCTAAATCAAGCCATGAAGGCGATGTGGCTAAACGCTTCTATGAAGACGTGGAATCAGTCCTTAATCAAGTAAAGTCACACTATACTATACTGATGGGTGACTTTATTGCCACAGTAGGCAAAAAACAGGCTGGAGACCAAGCTATGGGGGAACATGGCATCGGCTCTAGAAATGCAGAGGAGAGCCACTAGTAGAGTTCACACAGCGTAATTATTTACTGATTTTGAATACCTTCGTCAGAAAACAAGCTAACCGTAAATGGACGTGGCGAAGTCCTAATGGTGAAGGGGAGTCAGTGGCAAGCCGTCTGCAAATAATGAAATGGAGAGGCACGCTGCGATATCACCGGATTAGGATCCATAGCGTAAAAAATGTCCCCACCTGCCCGAAGGGTATTGTAAGTAAATGCGAATGCATTTCTTGCGCTGAGAGAGGGTACTGTTGTGTTAAGACATTCGACTTCACATATTTTTTCCGTCACTTTGAGAGGCGCTCAGCCAGCGAACGGTTGAGAGTGAGCAGTGAGCAAACGGGAGAGTGAGGCGCCAGCGTTCTCTGCTTTGCGTTGGCGTTTCACAGGGGCGTCGTCAGCACATATTTTTGGATGTCTTTGACAGGCGCAAAGCCAGTGACAGATCGAAAGTGAGGTGCGGGCGAACGAGCGAGTGGGGCGAGGGACAATACAGAGCGAATGATGAGAGTAGGAGCAGCCAAGCACTGCACGAAACTACCCTCTCCAACTCTCTCGCACCACATGCTCCGGCTGCTAGAGGCGAGGCGCATCACATGCTTTGGTTGCTAGAAGCGTACGTGCCCGCAGCTGTTGGCATGGGAGAGGGAGTGAGACTAGAGAAGCAACACCTGCTGGCGCGCGGACACCGCTGTGAACAACGCCGGACACCTGACATATAGCCTGACTAAGTAATGAATTCACATTAAAAATGAAAAGGTATCGTATGAATGCCGCAGCTCCAAAGAACAGTGGAAAGCAGCCGAAAATATTTTTGTCCGTTGAAAAGCACAAGGGCAAGATTAAAGAAAACGTACAATAGTCCTGAAGGCAAGTTTCACATCACAAATTTTGTGACTTGCAGTCATCGCAAGTGGTGCGGCTTGATCATAGAGACATGCATCACAATTGAGGAGCGTGGTCTTCGAGAACGGTGCGACGTGTCTGCTGGGACAGCTTCGTAGTTGAATTCCCCAAGACGATGAACTCGGGAGGGTCCGAAGTTACGAGATCATTTCTCTGAGCTCCCAAGTTTACGTATGAGAGTTTAAACCAAAACTAGAACACCCGGTTTATATGTTACAGTTCTGCGATGGGTGTTTTACCGGCGAGCATCTTGATTTTACCGCGACAAAATGCGAAAGTGCGCAGTCCGGTGGGCTACACCGACATACACAACAAATACAAGTGAATCCCGGTCAGTAATGCCCGGCAGAGTTGGTCGCAGCAAGATGTCAAGCATTGTGGTGATGTCGCGGCCGTGAGCTAGACGAGAAAGAGCAAAGTTAATAGTCTCATGAATAGCCGTGTTGTAGGCAAATGTGATACACAAAAGGATTTCGTCTGAACGGTTGTAATCATGGCGGCATATTTCAAAATCATAATTGTGAGCGTTTTGTTAAGGCGTTTGGTTAACCTGTCAGTCTGCGGGTGGTAGGCAGCTGCTGCTCCGTGTATCGTTCCGCTCAACCACAGGATTAATGTAATTGCGGAGAGCAGTAGGAAAGAATAGGAGGTAAACAGTTTCTGTATGATGAAAGTTGTGCTTGTAGAGCATGTTTTGGCGTAGACATAAAGATGAGAAGACACGCGCAAACTGGCGTGGATGTTGTGGGCGACGTCCCTCAAGGTAATCAATCAGTAGTACAAGTTGGTGTCGGTGTCGGATACCGTCGGTATCGGTGTGTTTCTTTCTAGGCTTGTAAGCTATGGTTACACTGAATAGACCTCTACCGGTGTACGTCACACCATGACGGCACCGGTGCACGTGCAAGGTGGTTGTCGGCAAAACACTTCCGCCGGTGGCTGAGTGGGGTGCAGTCGCTTGGTGTTCGGGCAAGTTTTTTTTTTCTTTTTGAAAGTGTAATCTTCGTATGAAAGTGGCAACCTTAGCTGCAATATGTGTCAGAGAACATCTAGGTGCGTGGTAAAGTTCGTGATGAAATATTCGCAACGCTGGCTAGCTGTTTATCTTGTAGAAGTGAACAGGCACGGCAGCCTGTGCGAGGAACTGTCGCCTTCAAAAATATGTAGTGTTAACTGTGACGTGTAGAGTGCGTTGAAAGCACCGTCGTTGTGGTCTAGTGGCTAAGGTACTCGGCTGCTGACCCAAAGGTTAAGGGATCGAATTCCGGCTGCGGCGGCTGCATTTCCGATGGAGGCGGAAATGCTGTAGGCCCGTATGCTTAGATTTGAGTGCACGGTAAAGAACCCGAGGTGGTCAAAATTTCCGGAGCTCTCCACTACGGCGTCTCTCGTAACCGTATGTTTTGGGACGTTAAACCCCACATATAAATCAGTCTGCGTTCAAAGGCATCGACAATATTGGTTGACCTTTACGGATGATGAAACTGGGACTATTGTGTGCCGTGTGCGCAGTGTGAATAACGTGATGTGTACTTTCTGCGAAAACACAGTTATTCGTTGTGGGGCAGTTACACTACTTGGTTGTCGATGGAACTTTACGATCTGACATTTTAGTCAAGGTAAAAATACATTTGACGCGATCATTTGCGAGTGCGTGCATCTCAGCGTATGTGCGGCGTGCAAAAAAATAAGAGTGTATGATCGCCAGTTGATATATACGAATACGCATGCAGAATCGGCAACGCTACAACATGCACCACGGCTATAACTCGTATTAACGGATTCGTTATACGTGCTTTTGATAACAGCGGAGACTTTCGTTTCTTATCTACTTTGTACTTTTACGGCTGGATCCCTATGAAGTGACATTGCGCATTAGAAGTTCGTGTATCAGAACTAAAGAAGCAATATATGTACGAAAACACGTTATAGTTATTAAATGCAGCAAGGTAACTGGGTCATAAAATATTATATATATTTACGTTGTCGGGTTTTACGCCACTATAGTTTTCACCGGGTTATTGAGAAACGCAGCGGCAAAATTTCACTTTGATTTTCACGATGATATGTTGACCTTGACTTAAGCCACGGCAAGAAGCGTTTCTTTTTTTTTCATTCATTTCCAATAAGACTTTTGCGCAATGATTGAGAATCTTATCCGTGACGTCACGCAAAGCAGCTCATCATTATGCTGCGCCAATGATGTACGTCGTTTAAAACTGCGTGGCACATGCCACGATGGATATTCATTAAGTTTACATTCATATCATGCAAATGGTTTTCAAAGTGCCAGTCACCATGTACATTCGAAACGTTCGCTTTCTAAAAAGGTCAGACTTTTTTGTGACTGCCATCTACGTGGGTGAAGCCCACTGTCGCGCCTCTCAGTAGTCTAAATAAAGTTTCTGCGTCCATCTATATACGACGAGCAATTTTACGCACTATGAGCAGTGATCCTTCCGCGACCCCCTTTTTTTCAAAAGCTGTGACTTTAGAACAGAGCAATGTGGAAATTTCTGTCGAAAGCATGAAGACACATAGCTCTGCTATGCAGAAAGATGCTGCCGGCGGAACTTTCTTGCCAACCAGCACCAGCTCTGAGAGAGGGTATGGTGGGCGGGGTGCCCACAGTGACGTCACACTGTTTACAAACAGGGAGAGGTCTACTCCTGTAACCGAAGGCTCTAACTTGTGAAACTACCGGAAAGATATTTCAGATTCACCAGCCAGCAGAGGGAGTTGTGGTCAATGACGTTACTGGAAGGGGCGTCTATACGGGTATGGCCTGAATTTCGTAAGAGCTCATACAATCACCACGCATTCACTTTCAGTCATTGAGTAACTTTTTTCCGCAGATGGCAACGTGCGGCTAGCGTAGGCAATCACGCGTTCCACGCCATCTTGATATTGCAAGAGAACAGCTCCGAGGCAAAGTTTACTCGCATCCGTGTGGACATATGTGTCTGCTTCATTGTCGAAATGGCCAAGGTTCGGCGGTGTCTGTAGGCGTTGTTGTTGGTTGCGGAAGCGTAGGGTTGTTCAGGACGCCAGGCGAAGGTGACATCGTCCTTGAATAGTTGTTGTAGAGGGTGACTAGTTGTGGATTGTAGCAACTAGCAGTGTAAACTAGTTGTAGAGGTAAAGCGGGAAGTAGTGCCTGTCCACTCCTATCTTTCCGTTTGTCGTCTGCAGGCATCGTGAAGCTGCCAATGCAATTCTTGCCAACTCGTGAATGAAGCTTCGTGGTTCCCTTATCACAATCTTGCTGCGTCTACAAGGGAGATATAGACGTTCTTCAACTTAGGGCGATTGGGCCAGTTGTTGACTCCAACGACCCAGCCAAATTGGTCGAGTCAGTCTTCCGCATCTCCACCGGCGTCGCTGTGATTGAGCGTGCGAGGCGTTTTGATGGCACTGAGTAGGCCAAAAAAGGGGTCATCTTACGTTTGTGTGGCGGCTGTGGCAAATTTTGCCTCACGGAACTTTCCAAGGAAACGTACTGGGAAGGTAGCCTTTGAAGGCGACGGTATCTTCGGTGAAGGCTATCAGCAGACACTAATGCACTGGCATTAGTTGGTTTTTGCTCAAAATAACAGGCATAGGATTTCGCAGTACGCAGCACCTCCGCCAGTCTGTCGCGAGAGGAAACTATCAACAGGAACTCGAAGCGAACGGCTGCGTACTTGGCCACAGCAGCCACCCACCTATACGCTCGCTTCTTTTTTTCTGCCTCTGATAACACAGAGTGGCAGTGTATATATATCTGTATATATATATATATATATATATATATATATATATATATATATATATATATATATATATATATATATATATATATATATACCTAATTATTTACCTAAATAGCAAATAGCCATATATATGCCCTCTACAGTGGACGGGTGGTGCTCGCCGACGTGGCTCGGTGGTAGAGCTTCGGACGTGTTATTCATATGTCGTAGGTTCGGATCCTGCCTGTGCATGTTATCTTTTCGTCCACTATTCTTCATATATATATTACTTTTATTACTTCCAATATTATCTCCTATTCTTTCCCTGCTGTTTTATTGTTGGCTGTTCGCATCATTCAAAGTGCCTGCAGTTGGGTTCGATGTGCACACATTAGAAAAACTATAACCATTTATTTCGCTTTTGAGTCGTCTTCAGCGAATACATATTGCTTCCTGTGGTAAGACATGTATTGAAGATTTTTGGCTGCACATTATTCTTTTCTTTTTTTTCGGAATGCCTGGCAAAAGCCAGGCATTCCGCCAGGGCTCTTTTATTATAGTAGCTTATGTTACACAGAAAAATACGTTATCTTAATAAAGTTTCCTCTGAGTGGTTCTACATTGGTTTTTAAAGACAAAATAAGACCTATTTGGCCACTTTCATTGCGCAGATGTTGGTATTCATTACCATGGGCTAGAAAAATTACATAACGTCGAGAGATCGAATCTGAGACATGGCAGCCGCATTTCCAAAGGAGGCAAAAATACTTGAGCATCGTGTACCAAAATTTTAGTGCACGACAACAAATTCCGCGTGATTGAGATTTCCGGAGCCCTCCAGTAATCATATTGTGCTTTTATGATGTTCAACTATAAGGATTCATATAATTCAGATAACATAAAACGTCAGCTTTCAGAAGCCAATGACCCTCACTCATTGCTTTGAATATTTTGCCACTCGAGTAGATTATACCTCAACCAAAGCCACGCAGCAAGCGCTGGATCAGCACGTCGGCGCCTGAGAGCCGTTGGAAAGAACCTGGTGCACTGCAATGCTCCGCCGAGTACCACACGAACAACTTCGTAAACCCAGTGCTGTTCTGCGAGGCTCTGAAACATGTGCCCAAGGACGCTATCTTGCTGGAGATAGGACCACATTGCCTCCTGCAAGTGAGTGGTATGCCAGTGTTTACAGTGCTCAACCATTTTTTTAGGCCATACTCAAAGCTTCTGTATCACTATTTTGGGCACAGATGCATAATCCTCGGAAGAAAGGTTCTGTGCTCTGCTGAAGTTCGCTCCCCCCCCTTTTCTGTATGACATGATGATAGACTGAAAAATAAAGCTTTCTGTATAAGGCGTTAGAAACCTATGCTCGTCAGCGGGCGGATGCTGCTAATGCACGATTGTTTCGTGTGTATACTCTCGGATGTTTCCGGTATGTCTCTTTTTTAAATTTTGGCTTTCGATTCAACTCAAGGCTTGGTATATGCTATGAACCAGATTCGCTCAAAAAGATTTATCTCTGACATCTGTCGCGTTGAATGTATAGTGTCGCATGATCGTGACGCTAAAGATGCCAACAGTCGGCTGGTTTAGGTGAAACATTCTTTAGGTGAACGTGTGCCCGGGCAACGAAGTCCGACGCTATACAAGCAATGCACGCTCCACATCGATAGCCGTCAACGAAGCATCGGCCGTCAATGATCTGAACTGTGGTGAGGTGCGTCGGCATAAATACATGTGTCATATAACATTAATGCTCCATTGGGGATGTTCACGAGAACTCTTGGTTAAACTTCAGTATTCGCGTCCACCGTGTACTATCAACAGAATGAGTTCAAGCAGCTGCGGAGCTTCTTGCATGTTCCAGCACGTTCTCCGCCATGCGTTGCTAACAGCGTTGGCAGTTGTAAAGAGAACACGTAAAAACAAAGCACTAGTAGATACAAGTGAAAAGACAATAGCATCACCGCATGGACGCCGTGGGCTGATGCATATATGCAGGAAACGCACCCCCTTATTCAGGGACCATGAGTGAATGGATCCCTAGTGCACTAGCAAACGTCGAACACCACCACCTATTTAGTTACGTATTGTTCATCGAATAACCACTTATCCCAGTGTCACGATGCGATGACTCTCGCTGAACTTCCGTGCGAAGAAATATAGATGAAATGAGGAAAAGCATCCAAATCTAGTGTATTCGGTTTGAACTCACGTACAAGTGCTTACCAGGGCTCATCAATTGCCTTCAAATTAAGGGCAATTATGAACTGGTTTTAGGCACCACGTGTGTAATTAACTACAGCTTGCGACAAGAGGTGATAAACCTACGTTACTAGCAAAGGCGAGATAACAAAATTCTCTTATTCTGGGCCACTGGTTGTAGGGAAAGAGATGTTATAATAATGAAGTACATGAAAGCATGAACCTGAAAAAAACACTGTTCAGAAAAAAAGAAGTACGAATGAGGAGAAAGTTCGGGTGCTCAACTTTAAAAGCAAGCGTGCCACCAGATTAAAACTCTGTGCGCAAGCATGCATCAAAAATCGAAAAAAAAAACACTGTTCAATATCGCGTGTCAAGAAGCTGCATCTCATGTCGGTAATGTGAAACAGGTGTATCACGAATGCAAACCGTGCCTCTCTTCTTCATCTGAAACGCCTCCAATAACTCTGGCGCTAAAGTCTTGCTGCTTCTGCCTATTATCTTGATCTCACTAAGCCGAGGGTCACATATTCAGGCTAATCAGTGTGCAGGTGTGTGCTCATTCTCTTTATCCATTAAAGATTATATGCTGTATTTCGCCGTATCAGCTGAGGCAGTCAGCAAGAATAGTTGTGTGCGATTAATAGAGAATATCGAAAAAACAAATTCAATAGCAATCTATATCATTCGGTGCCCCAATAAAACATATAATATCAAAACTAGACAATATCTTTCGCATACGTTTCGAATAACTGGCACCAAGTCGACTAGATACAGACACAGCTTTTCTCTCACGCCTATATTCGCCAAAACCAAATCTCACATGAACAGTTTTTTTCCCGCGCACCATAAAAGACTACTACTTTTTACCTGTTCACGTTATACAATCGGAAACCTTTACAAAAGAATCGGAAAACCACTTCTCTTAATATTTAGTGTTTAAACATTTCTTGCAGTTGTGTCGTGAATCCCATGTGTCTTGCACTGTACGTTTTTCTTCTTACATTGTTAGTCTTTTTGTGAATGCCTTGTCATTGTATTATTGTATTTGCCCCTTCTTCATGAGCCAGCATACTGTCCTGCAGTATCAATAAATAAATAAATAAATAAATAGAAAGTGCAAAGCAACCAGGAAAAAAAAAACTTGGAAGAGCGAAAGGCCATGTTTTTGTTGTTTTTATTTACTGAATTAGAAAAGTGTACAAATCTCGAGCTTTTACGGGACTGCCGCACCTTTACTCCTCACTGGAGTGAAACATTTTCCCTTTAAGACTCAGTTCTAGCCTATACGAATGTGCTCTCAACCCGCTACCATTATCCAAGCTTGATGGCAATTTTTAATGATGGCACAGTATTCGACTTTCGTGTATTTTAAAAGCTGGTGACAAAGCCCCACAAATACCACTTCTTGTGGGGCTAGTTAGTGGATTGCATCACGAAAATATATCAAGATAAAAAACAAACAGAGGAAACAGAGAAGAAAAATGCATGGGAAATACTTGAATCATTTCACACTGCGATGATTGGCGAGGAATGTTTTCATGATAGCTCTGTGGCGTTGGACAGAAAGGAAAAAAATATCTCGTGCAATTCTTTCTAGGATCTCGAGTAAATGATAATGCAAAGGTTACATACAGTGGTTGTACGTTAGTTTATTGTATTTTTTTCCATTTTCTAAAAATGTTGTAACATGAATATGTAACCACATGATTGCATACTCTATGTCACCAACTGTTTATTCACGGTCGTGAATAAATAGTTGGTAGCATAGCTGCTTTTTTGTGTTTTCCATTTTCTGTGAATGATTGGGTGAAGGAACTTTATTTGTAGTCCTGACAAACGTGACTAGCACACAGTCAGCTTCTCCAGTGTTCGTTTTTTTTGCTGGATATATTTTCTTCATACAAAGTAATACCTTGCCACAGATGTCACTCCTGGGTTTATCGTACTATAAAAAAATATATTTCGAAAGCAGTTTTCGCTGCTATCGTTACTGCTAAACATGGGCTTACCTCTCCTTACGTTATCATAGCATAAATATTTGGTGGCGTAAGAATAAAAATAATGTAATGTGCAAAAGTTTGCGAATCTGTATTTCAAATAAACCGTTGCAGCATTGAAAGCTTGGCTTAAAATTGGTAGTCCTATCATTCGAAGACTGATGGAATAGAATTTTAATTTTACTCAATTCGGTTATCAGTAGGCTGGCCATGGTGGTCTAGTGGCTAAGGTACTCGGCTGCTGACCCGCAGGTCGCGGGATCAAACACCGGCTGCGGTGGTTGCGTTTTCGATGAGGATGAATATGCTGTGGGTCCGTGTGTGCAGATCTGCGCGCTCGTTCAAGAACCCCAGGTAGTCGAAATTCCCTAAGCCCCCCACTACAGCGTCTCTCATATTCTTATGGTGGTTCTGGGACGTTAAACCCCACATATCAATCAATCATTTGGTTGTCAGTACCACCGTTTGCTCACTTCTAGAAAAAAAAAAACGCATGACAACCGCCTTTTACTTTCCGGCATTACACGTAGTAGTCGCTGCTGCTACCAGCCCGCGGTGATATTGTTCGTCCACTCCTTGCACATTCCGTTATGTTTCTGGGGCCAATTTTTATTCCCAGAAGCTACCTCACATTTACTGGCATTTTTTGTCACTCTGCTTGACACATTCTGAAGCGCGAATACCAAGGGATGCTGGTTGGTGGCCAAAACGATGATGCAGAAGCGACTCACACTTAGAGACCGAAGTCGAACTGTCATTCAGTTTCAAGTACACTTTCCCGATTGTCACTCACAATTTTGTTTTTTTTTCTGAAATACCTGCGTAGCGGTCCAAACTACCGTAAAAAAATTGCCCGCAGCTTCCCTCGGGGGAACACTGAGGAGGATGCGGAGCATATAATTGGTTAACGGGGTGTTAAAGTGCGACTTACTTGGGTCGATGGCTAAATTGGTTAACGTGGTTGTGAAATGGGGTGTTAAATTGCGACTTACTTGGGTCGATGGCTAAATTGGTTAACGTGGTTGTAGGAGGGGTGTTAAATGAGTGAACACGTACACACGTATGCGAAAGGGCGGCGCTGGTCGAAGGGACGTCGATCATTGTGTTTGTGGATTCGTTGGAATTCATTTCACCGCGACCTTGGACGTCGACGCGCCGTACAAACCAACCGACGAGCGGCAACTGAGCGAGCGAGCGCCGACCTTGAGTATATATACAGCACGACGGCGCATGCACTGTCAGCTGTTGAATGTTCTCGAAGCGCGACGCCACATGCGCGTCCACTGGAGAATCAGGAGAATTGTAGATGTCGAACGCGGTGTGTAGAGGAGGAAGGGTGCACAGATGGTGGAGGAGTGAAGCGCGCGCGGTGTGTAGAGGAGGAAGGGATGCACAGATGGTGGAAGAGTGGGCGACGGCGCGACGGCGCATGCGCGCGCGTCAGCTGTCGAATGTTCGAGAAGCGGTGCGGACGGCGCGGACGGCGCACTACAAGGCGCGAGTATAAGATGCTTCCGCATCTAATAGTGAAAACGTGCTGATCTAGCTGAACGTTGAAGGGCCTGAGTTTTTGATAATGTGCCTATTAAACATCATGAAATCATTTTGCAATACCTACCTCTTTCTTTACAGATTCATACTATTCAAATTTACTTCTTCTCACAGATCTCCCGTCGTAAATTTCCTTCGAACCAGTTATCGCACGAAATGCATGTTTTTTTCTTTTTTTCTCAAGAGAGCCTCTATATACGCAGACAGTGCCCGCACACTCCCACAGTGATGAATAGGTGGTTTCAGCCACCTCCTTCCTATCAATAAATCTGAAATTGCTCTTTCTACACTCTTGTGGGAGTTACTAGTGAGCAAGTAAATATATTTCATTCAGCACGATGACTTTTATTATTTTATAGAGTTTTTTCGTCTTTCTTTTCTTGGTCTTATTACGAATGTTCAAACACGCGTGCGGGACTCCGGCTTACAGCAGCATCTTTTGGGAAATCCTTGATCTCTGTGAAGTGGCATGTGTTCGTCGAGCCTGTTTGAATAGGTGCTGATTATGGGAAAAAATAGACCTCTCCCGCACCCATGTACCTCGCAAATTGCCGGGAAGAAAAAAAAATGGCATTTCTCCTCCTTTTACACTATATTGTGGTTGTCATAAATCACGTGGAGCAGTATTATTTGGCTGTCGTTTTTGAGGAAGTTGCATTGATGATTAGCAGCACTTTTTACATTGCTCTTTCATGTCCATCAAAATTATTCCTTGTTGAGCGTTTGCTTGAACTTGTTTCAGGCGATCCTGCGAAGAACTGTAGGCCCCGATGCCAGCTGCGCGGGCCTCATGAAGCGCCATGTGGACAATGTGGAATATTTTCTGCACTCATTGGGGAAACTTCACACTCTGGGACTGGAGATGGACTTGTCAGTGCTGTACCCTCCAGTTCCATGGCCCTTGCCCCGCGGTACTCCAAACATTGGTCACTTGGTTGGCTGGGACCATTCTCAGAGCTGGGATGTTGCACACTGGAAAGATTTTCCTTCGCCTGAACAGGTAATCTCGATTTGTGTGGATTACGCAGCAGTGCGACATATTTATTGTAAAATCAATTGTGTAATGATTGCTCTGTGTAACGAGTTAGTGAAATAAGAGCTTCCAATTTAGCCGAGTGCAGCTTTAGACATCGTGAGCATGCGACAGCTTGAGACATGCCTGACCACAAAACCAAGGTACTTGGCCACGTTTAATATTAACGAGCTGATATCGGCACATTCCCTTACTTCGTTAAAGATTACATAATCCTCAGACGTAATTTGTACAAATGTGTTTAGAATTGACAGCTCATCCACATGAAGACTGCGCGAATCATGTAGTAATGTGGGGCTAACGAGAATCGCGTTCAGGGGAAGGGTGGTTCAACTGAATTTCAAGTATGCTCACACGTGCGCTTGCATGTGTGCGTGTATATATACACGAACTAAATGGAAAAATTTAGGGAACTTCGAACCCCCCTTTACCCTTACCTTGGCTAGCCCACTGGTAGTAACTTACTTACGAAATGTCAGAATGCACAAACTACCAAGCATTTAGCCCAATCTTGTATAGTATGGTGATATCTCAGATGCCATTTCGGTGACAAGATTGTTCTGAAAATTAGAATAAATTTCAGCACTGGTGCACACATAATGTGTGTGCAATGAGGTGTTGTGATACCGAGAACTAATTTGCTAGTTAAAACAGCGTTTTGTTTTTCATCGATGTTTGTTTTTGTGTTGTTTGTTTTGTTTCTCAGTAATTTTTTTGAATGGCATCTCTCTTCAGAGACAAATGAATCTTCTACGCAGAGGTGCACTGAAAAGACACAGCTGTCTCATGCCACAGACCATCGTTTATAACAGCTGAATAAAGCTGTGTCTAAAACTCCTTCGTGGCTTGTAGAACACTCATAACGTGACTAAGTGGTGGCAGAGACTCGACCTCGCTTAAGAAGATACATTGTAGCATACGGCCATCATGTGCTGTTACAACAGTTACGTCATGTTACGTCATGTGCAGTCGACAATACTCAATAGGCCTTTACATGGTGCACTGAACACACTACGTTGGCAGTGGTACATGTTGGTGCAGTCACTGAACAATTGATCCTAAATGGCACCGTATTAGGACTATGACAGAATGTGCTTGGTAGTGGAACTTTTTATAGCCAAGAAAATAGCTAGGACAGTAACCTCGCAAAATGTTTTTGGGCTAACTGGTTCATGGCTTCTTAAAAAAATTGTAAAAAAAACTAAAAAGTACGAAGAACAAGCGACTGACACAGTAAATATTTGTTTTTCCTGGTAGCGTGTACCGAAGAAGTATATTAAGCTTTTTTCTACCATAAGTTTAGTGTGAATCCGTTCCTTCTTTTGAATATATATTTGCACTAGTAAGCTCTCGGCTGCTAGCAAAAGCCATGACGAGTGCAGGAGGTCAGCCTTTTGCGCAACAATTGCTTTGTAAGTCTTTACTTTTGGTATCTGCGTATGTTTCCAATGACTTGATAGAGTGAGAACGTGAGAGAAGATAGCATCGCAAAAGCTTCAGAAATTCTTCAAAGTCATATCAATTTTTCTTTTTCTATAGGTAATTTTGCACCAGCATAGTACTCAAATAACTCGTTCTGCACTAAATGTCAATAACGTTTTTTGCAAAACGCCACCACTCTGGGAAAAACTTCAAGCTTTTCGTGATTGCTAAGGAAGGCAAAAAAAATGGCATTCCGTATACCAGTAATATTCTCTAGTGTAGTAGCGTATTCTAAACAACATGCCACGGTGCCCTTTTAACCAGGTGATGAACTTTTCAAGTTGACCGATCTAGCGTGCTTGATGCACGCGTTTGCCCTCTTACAAGGGCGTACGTGTTTACCCTAGTACACGATATTTCTCACGCGTAAGTCGTAAAAAGTTTGAGCAATACCTTATTCTTTGTGCAACAAATTGTGATCTTCATCATATACAAGTCTGCATGCCTTAAGAGTAAAATACGCATGCGTGCAAAAACCGCGGTTCTCTCGAAGTCTTGTAGAACATAGTGAAGCAGAAGTAGGTTTTGTTGCGCCCTTTTGTAGTGCAAGAGCTAAGAGTTATGGCCCACATATTATTTCAACGAGTTAAATAACGCATTGTTCTTGCTAAACAGCACAAATTTGTGGGCACTTGCAGGCCAAGGAGGATGTCTTGAAAGTCGACCTAGAAGCCCACAGCAAGGACAAGTACCTCGCTGGTCATCAGCTAGATGGCCGTGTCCTGTTTCCTGGCACTGGCTATGTATTATTTGCTTGGCAGTTCATTGCCAGTCAGTATGGAAGGCATATCAACGAGACTCCTGTAATTGTTGAGGACATCAAAATTCAACGTTTCACAATCCTGCCTCCATCGGGTAAGCGTTTTCATGGGGTATCTAATGATGCTCATGCACCCACACAGATTATATCAAACATTTAAAGTAACGGCAGCAAAAACGATTGTTGATCTAATTGGTTTGCTTTCTTTCTTTGTTCTTCGTGAACTGCATCTTCCCGTTTTCGTGAGCAGTGCCTAAACTGTAGAAAAATCAAGCCAAACCAACGCGCTAACGAATCATGCTGCAAATAAGATCGACAGCGTTTTGCCCTTTTGTTTTACGCTGATGGCTGTGTGCCTAGACCTTATTTACCAACCGACCAGAGCGCATGGCAAGGTTGTGCTGTGCATGTTAATAACGTTATTTTCAAAATACATGTAAAATTGAAGTTTTGATTTCGAGTCCAGTGAAAGTTGTTTCATTTGTTGTCAGTGATCATTGTAATAATTTCTCACATTTCAACTTGCTTTACTGTAATTTTCCCAGTATATTGCCGCGCGTATGTGCCAGTGATGAGGACAACGAAGCAGCGCGAGGGTCTTTGGCCGAGGGCAAAAGACGAAGAAGTCATTGCAGACTGTTTCCTGCGATCGATAAATCGTATTTGTTTGAGGCGCTTTGTGTGCTCGTCAATCTCGCGTCATCACACTGGTGGAGGTGCTGGGTACGTCTTAATGCTTTGCACCCCTTCGCGGACCCAACATTCGAGCCTGAAATCACTACCACCCGTCGATACACCAGTCCACCGTTTCAGCCACTATCTGCGAGGCCTGGCTCCCGAACTCAATCCCTTGCCTGAAACTGCCAGCAATCACTTGCCTCCCTCAGCTACCATGGCTACTGCAGCTCCATCGCACATGATACTTCAGAATCCCATAATTCCTGACTGCTTTCATGGTGAGACCTATGAAGACGCACAAGACTGGCTGGACCAGTTCGAACGCTGCGCGAAGTACAACCAGTGGGCCACCCCAGAAAACAAGCTCGCGAATGTGTACTTCTACCTAAAAGACAACGGCCAGACGTGTTGCATCAAGAGGGTAAGAAGCATGGCTACGTGAGACGACTTCCGCAACCAGCTGATCGACACCATTAGTAGTCTTGACAGAAAGGAGAATGCGCAACGTCTCTTAGAAGCTCGAAATGAAAAACCAGATGAGAGCGTCGCTATGTTCGCCGAGGACATGACCCGTCTTTCCGGCAGGGCAGATCACGAGATGCCGGAAGACAGGAAGCTGCGGTATCTAATGCGAGGCGTGAAGGAGGAACTGTTTGCTGGGCTTGTGAGAAATCTGCTAACCACAGTAGCTGAGTTCACGAAAGAAGTCACAGCTATTGAGTGGGCCCTACAGCAACGGTACCGCCAGCAGAACCCGGTCAATGTTCGAGCGAGTAGCCCTGTTACGCCTGTGGCGAGCCTCCGCGACAACTACAGGCCTCTGCGGGAAGTCATCCGGGAGATTTTGAGACAGGAGATTCGGCAGCTTGGTTTTTTTTCGAGCAACTAAACCGACGCTGGCATTGTCTTTTGTCGCTGATGTTGTCCGGGATGAGGTCCATCAGGCTGTCTCTTCATCCGGCTATAATGACGTGCGGCGACATTTTACTTATGCTGATGCAGTCCGGCGCCCCGTCGTCGCGACTTCGGCACAGCGGACTCCAATGACTGGACCACCATCAACCCTGCCAACACAGCCGCTCCCGACGCCGAGGACTTTTCCAACCGCACCGATCTCGCCAACAAGACGAATGACATTTAACCAAAATGGGAAGCCCACAACGTGGTTCAATAGTGAGTACCCATTTACCTACCAGCGTCGGAAAACCGATTTGTGGTGTACCGCTGACCGTCGATCAGTATGCTTTCATTGTGGCGAAGCCGGAGACGTTTACAAAGTTTGCCGTTATCGCGACCCTCAGTACTCGATATTTCCTCGCTACCATGTTTACGCTACATACGACGATCGACGCACGAACAACGACAATCCTATGAACACACCACCGCAGAATCCAATGAGGCCCGGGTCACGTTCTCCATCTCCCGCGCGGGGCACATCACCTAATCGTCGTAGTTTTGCCGACGTCACCAGGGGCAGGTCCCCTAGCCCGTGACAGGGAAACTAGACGCAGCGACCTCGGGGGGTGGGGTTGCCAATAATTGAACTTCCGAACAGCCCCTATTGCAGACATATGACAGCTCGACGCCACCAATACCAAAGAGGACGACAGCAAGAACTAATCCGACGAATGAGACAACTGCTGAAGTAACAGATGGTATCAGCGCTGACCTCGTCGTTCACATTGACGGCCACTAAGAGACGGCTCTTGTGGACTCTGGCTCCCACCTTTCTATAATATGCCTGCAGCTAGCGGACAGACTAAGAGAGGCCAAGATGCCATGGCGGGGACCCAGTATAAGAACAGCAGGAGGTCAGTTGATGACACCGGTTGGAAAGTGCACTGCTCGACTCTTCATCGCTGGTTCCACCTTTGTCGCCACCCTCGTCATTCTTCACGAGTGCTGTAAACAGCTCATATTGGGAATGGATTTCTTGCGCGAATACGGGGCTGTGACTGACATCCTTGACAGAAGCGTAACGTTCGCTATAAGCTCGGAGACTGCTACAGATGAGGAACACCAGCCACCTCGATTCCGTATTGCCGATGACGACGTCATACTGCCGCCAAGAAGTTGTTCCCTCGAATCTGTGCACCATGACAAGTTACAAAACGGTACTGGCATCGCCGAACACATCAAGGAGCTCGCATTCACTAGCGGCATTTCTGTTGCCAGGACTGTGATCACTGTTATTGACGGATGCGCTGAACTTCTATTGACAAATTTCAGCAGAGAATGCCGACACATAGTTAAAGGCACGGCTATTGCTTATTTTGACGAACTCTCGCAAACAGAAGATTGTCTTTTAGTGGAGGGAACAGACTGCAACGACTTCTTCGTCTTTTGCCCTCGGCCAAGAACCCTCGCGCTGCTTCGTTGTTCTCACCACTGGCACATACGCGTGGCAATATTATCTCTAAAAGTACCTGCTTCACACACAAAGTTGTCCTAAAGCACTATTTAAACAGCTTTTTGTCTACTTCAGAGACACATCGTTTCACAGGGTAATAAATATCTTTATGCTTCCTAACAACCTAAGATAATCCCTTTTCCACCCAAAGTGTTCTCTTCCCCTCATATAGAAAATGGCATAAATAGTTCTTCCAGCAGCACCTACGTAAATACGTAAAGAAAAAAGAGTGCTTTCAGATAGGTTGCGATGCTCCAAAAGTGGTAAAGTATTATGTTTTTAAGATCAAAGAAGACGCGACTAACAAGGCATACTAGAATAGGAAAACGCGGACCCTGGGTCCTTCTACACTTGTGTGCTGTGTTAGTCGAGGGTTTTTACTTTAAGAATCAACAATAACTCGGCCAAGTTTTCATTATACTGAAAGAATACGCCCACTTGAGACACGTAGTGACGGCAGAGCCGAAATATGAGACTAAAGTAAGTGGAAGAATGAGAATAGGACGCAGCATGGTTGGCAGCCATTTTGAAATTATGAATAGCAGTTCACCACTGCCGCTCGAGAGAAATTTACATATATGTTGTGTCTAATCGGTAACTACCTACGGAACATCACCCTGGAGGTTTACGAAGAGTTTCAACTCAAATAGGGGATGACGCCGTGAGAGATGAAAACAAGAATTACAGGCACAGCTTCAAGAGACTAGAAGAAATCATGGTGGGCCAGTAAACGAGCAGGTGTCAAGCAAAATGATCGCTGGATATTAACAGGAACTGACTTCATTACAAGAGAAGGCAAAGGCGTGAGGTGATTCCCGAAAGTTACACAAGTAGATCCAATTATGAAGTACATGTATAACGTGGTAGGAGCATACACAGGAGTGAGCAGAAAGGCAGCTCATCGGAGTGGCCCTTGCTTAGCAATCAGCACAGTCACGCTCATAATAAAACGATGATGATGGTATTTCTTACATCGAGCTGTTTTTCTAGTGTATTGGCATACAGACACAAAATTGTATTGCTGAGTATAGTTAGAAAACCTAAGCGCCGTGGGGAACTTCCTTAGGGTTCTGCCATGACTGCTCAGATATGCGTAGTGTTTTAAATAGTAAAAGCGAACATAAAACACTTAATTTATATTGTCCAAATGAAGATACCTACGGTTCAAGCGGAAACCAGCTAGTACAACTCTCTGTCATTGGTTAAACGTAGGCGTCCCATGGGTGTCTGTACAAATTTGACATTTTTTTGTTAGATAGTAGTCCAGAATAGGAGAGTCAGGTTTTCACACCAGAGACTTTTTCAATATTTCTTCAGCGGCATTCACATTAATTTCTCACCCAATTTTTTACTTTCCTCTGTTGCACCCAGGTTGCATCCATTTCCAGATCACCATGATGCCCGTGACTGGCGAGTTTGAAGTATGCGAAGGCCGAGCAGTGGTCTGCAAAGGCCGTATCCGCGTAGCCGAAGAAGGTGAGGTGGTGCTGCAGAAGAAGCCTCCTGGAAAGCCTGCGGAAAGCATCGTCTTTGATATGGACTGCGCGGAGATATACAAGGAGCTGAGGCTTCGCGGATACCAGTACTATGAACTATTTCAAGGTGCCCTCAAGGCTGTCTCACAGAGTAAGGGCCGACTAGACTAACGAATACGGAGCTGTCGAAGCATGAATGGTTAAAGCCATTATCCTCGATGCTTATTTGTTTTGTAGGAACGTATTGCTACTCAACAGCAATAGTTGTAAGTGCTATATTATTCACGCACATTATACACTCAATCGTATGGTCTGAGTAAACTATGGTGTTTAGTTGATTTGAAAATTGTTACCTACATAATCAATGTAATCCAGAACATTTAGGGACTGACCACCCTATTTGGATCTCTCAAATAATAAAGTTAGGACCACGCGAACACTTGACTCACAATGACGTCATTAATATATCATTATCAGCGTTGATGGAGTACCAAAGTTTTGGGTGGAATAATTAGAACATCACTTTGAATGCGAACGCAACCAAGTAATTTTCGAATACTTCCCGAGTATTTTTCAAGTACGTCAAAGCCAAATCACACTATATAATTCGTAAACAATCCTTGAACTTATTCTTATGAGATAGCAGAAAAGCGTTTCTTTTGGCTTGATTGGTGAAGCGCTGCAGAGGGAGGAAGGGTGTACTGTGGTGTTTAAGTGAAAAAATTTTTCAATGCAGGAGTTTCACTATATTTATTTACATTACTTGTGTCCATTATTGTTGTACCTTTTACATTTGTTGTACCTGTTATACATTTTACACAAGAAAGGCAAGCACCAGGTTTCCTTAGCCTCAGCTCTTACATTATTTTTTAGAGGCTCAATTCATGTTAAATGGGCCCGCTATCCTCAAGTTCAGAGTTTTATATCGCCTCTTCAATCAGTGTATAAAAACATCTGAAATTTAGGACGTTGAAGATGTGCGTGCGTTTTTTTTTTCTGAGACAGGGCTTCCTGCTCTGAAACGGCATTGATTAAAGCCACCATATTTGCTGCGAATGTTCAAACCAGCGCTTCCGTGAGCCGATTCGTTTGTAGCCGCAATAGCAAACTGTGCTGGGAACAAGCATAATAACATATGAAGCGACCACTGTAGCGGAACTGTGGGCCGATGTTCTTATGGAGAATCACTTGAAATGCACGTAGGCGTGATAGTGGCAGGCGGCAAATGCGCTAGGATGGGTAAATGGCCAACATCTTTTGTGATATGCAGGTTCAGCTAACTGGTCAGTAGCACACGCGGTCTAGCGCTCCTAATGGTATGCGTGTGTTACGAACACACTGTGCTCCGTCCATGCTGCCTCCTTGTGCGCGAGTGCTACTTGCGCCCCACATGGACACTGCCTTCATGAGCTTAAGCAGCTCTAGTTCGGAAAACTAGTTCGGATGGCAATCGTGCGTGCCAATCGAGACGCCCTCATGAAAACATCTGGCACATTAAGGCTTCCTAAGCAGGTCGCCATTCGTGGTGCCCGTATGCAACTAGCAACGCAGAGTTAGCAATGGGAGAACTTTTCGTACGTATACAGCGTCCAGGCGATGACAGGGTGAGCTTAGTTGGCGATGTGCTGCACGCAACTAGAGCGATTGCATGCAGGCGCTAGTAAATGCTGCTCATCAACGGTAACTCGGTAATCGCCTAAGTGCCCACACAAGCCGGCGAAAGTCCAACGAGTAGTCAGCTCTTCGTTTTCAGTGTTTACGTTCCGCGTTGTCATCTTTCATTGGTCCAAGCGAGAGAACCTTAATTTATTCGGCGCTTTGCTGATACCAAGGAGGCTCGTCACGAGAGTGAATGTACGTACGTAAGGGTTCACGGCAGGCTCTTAATGTATTTACGAGAGCTTGGGGGCACACCAAAATGCCTCATGAGTCTAGTGGAAGGCATTATTGTCAATTTGGTTTCTTCGCTGCTTAAGAAAAATCAAAATGCAAAAATCTTTTTTTTATTTTCCGGCTTTTGCGCCATTTGGCGTTCTCAAGCTGTCTGGAAAATCTAGCATTGTCTCCGCGTATACTTTCTCGAAGTACTAAGTGAAATTCGATGCGAATCTAACCGAATTTGAAACACGTATGTAAAATTAATCCAAAATTGGAATAATACTTGCACATACCTCATTATAATTGAAATAATAGTGCTCGTGATGAGCGCACAAAATGTATCCTAATACTTAAGCGCAAAAAATAATTTTGCCGTAATCATTGAATTGAAAAAGTTCTTCAATAGAGCGCCTAATTTGCAGAACCATACGCGAAGCTGAAGTGGCAGGACAACTGGGTGACCTTCATGGACTCGTTGGTGCACATGACCTTCATATGGAAGAGGAAAAGAGAATTCGTGCTGCCACTCGCAATTCAGTCGATCCGCATCGACCCTAAAGTTCACGCAAGAATCACACAAATGGTCGGAGACGAAGGTGAGCAATCGTTTCTTCAAACTGAGCGCGGATGGTTTTCCCATATGCAAATGCAATGTGTGATTATGATTGAGATGGAGGTCATTCTGAGTTCCTTGTAAATCAGACGACAAAAACGGCATAGTATAAGTAATATTTAGTAGTGTATCTGTTGGTTAGGATATTCTCGTTGTTGCTTTACTTATTTTTTTAAGTCTGACACGGCACTTCTTAATGAACGAGACACCTGATCTAAATATGACAAAAATATTGTGAAGGTGAAATGTGTTGATGATACGTAGCTAAACCAGTAACCCACTTACAGTATTTGTAATCGAGAAAGTGCATCGACCAATTGCACATAAATCAAAAGTATGAATGTTGAAAAGCAGTAAGAACAACCGCTTTTCATCTTCACCAAATTGCTCCGAACAGCAAAATTAACGTGTTCAAAGGTCGACTCTCCAGGTTTCCAAAATGTAAAATAGGAACGCCATACTCTTTCCTGATATTGTTTGTCCTTCTTGCTCACTTCTGTGACGTACTGTCGCACAGGTCGTGGGATCGAATTCCGGCTGCGGTGGCTGCCTTTCGATGGAGGCGAGAATGCTGGAGGCCCATGTGTTCAGATTTGAGTTCAAGTTAAAGTACCCCAGGTTGCCTAAAACTTTCGGAGCTCTACTTTACGGCGTCTTCATAGCTATATAATGGTTTCAGGACGTTAAAATTCACATAGTAATCAACTTCAGTGACGCAAATGGTAATTCCCAAGACGTCGATAAATGCACATGTTGTTTATTGAGCCATATACACATATCAAACGTTGTTTGTGTCCTACACTGTAAGACATACAGCCGCCCATTCGTTCATTCTTGTCTCACGTGAGAATCGTGCACGATCAACCGATCAAACTACACTTTTATTGCGATAGCAGTTTTAAGGACACTCCCAACTGAATTTTGCCGCTGACGTCTACGTCGCTCACAATATATATATATATATATATATATATATATATATATATATATATATATATGGATTTATGAGATCAGTTTTATGAACACTCCCAGCTGAATTTTGCCGCTGACGTCTACGTCACTCAATATATATATATATATATATATATATATATATATATATATATAAGGGAAAGAAGTGTATACCTAAGGGCTCGTTTTTCCATGTTTTAACACAATATTAATGAGATCTAACAGACAGTAATGCCAAGGAATGTACAACAGAAGTTAATAGAACCAATGGAATGTAAATAAGAAGAAAGAAAAGTGGATGAAAAAATAACCAGCCGTGAGCAGGCTGGTTATTTTTTCATCCACTTTTCTTTCTTCTTATTTACATTCCATTGGTTCTAATAACTTCCCCTGTACATTCCTTGGCATTACTGTCTGTTAGATTTCATTAATATTGTGTTAAAACACGAAAAAACGCGCCGTTAGGTATGCACTTCTTTCCCTTATATATATATATATATATATATATATATATATATATATATATATATATATATATATATATATATATATATATATATGAAAACACAAGAAAAAAATAATTCAGAAACAGAATGCAGCACGCGGAATCGAACGTGGAACCTCTCAAACGTGACTGCGAGGTGTTAGCCACTGAGCCACGGAGAAGCATGTCGCTCAACGTTCAAACAGAAAGCTCTTTATATATACAACTTACCGCTGTTACGGGCATCACGGGAGAAGGAGGGAATCATCTTGTTTCTAGCAGTACCAGCAATATTGCGCAATGAGCGTACGTTGCCACATTGTGATGACGCCGTGGTGTGCGCTTTTGTCTACCACGCGTTCTTTGCACTGCATAGATGAGGGGATGGACGCTAACTCGCGCACCCTTGTCTCGCGGTGGGGAGGACGTGCGTCTTGGCTGACCTTGAGATTTCACTGGAACGGTTCTGTTGTAGTTAGCGGGCGTACAAAGGTCCCTGCAAGTGTTGCACAGTCTCCGTTTGCGAAACGAGCGTGCTTTTCAGACACAGCGAAGTAACAGCTCAGACGCTTATTCGCGTTCATATGTACCTGTGGGTACGTTTCGTACGTCATTCGTGCTTGGGAAACGCGGGGCACGTTTTGATCCGCTCGCCATTCTGCGCGTGACCTTCTAATTTGTTGCTATCGCATTCATTGCTTCGCTTTTGCGGCAAAGCTGTGACTTTTGTGTTAACGACTGCTCAAGCGGTGACAACAGCCTGTAGCTAAACAGTGCGAAATTATGATAGGCTCTGGCGCTTAGTGCTGATATTGTTCATGTAATTTTCAGAGCGATGGCGTGAGGAGGATACATTGCGTTTGTGAAAATTAGCAAACGAGAGAAGAAAACCTACCCCTTCCCCTTTGAATGCCGGGGTTGAGTGGCCCCTTAAAGTGATCGAACCAAGAAAAAAAACTAGGATATGGTTGCTGAATTCAAGCGCTGCGTGTAGCTCTCTCACTTTCGACCAATAAATTTGGGTTGCGCAGTCGCACTAAAATAAGGATTACAAGATTGACTACAATGCTGTTTTGCTACGATTATATATTTGGCTGGATGGCTATATGATTCTGCCATTCGTAATAAATTATCAGCAAGGCAACTCTAGAGCAAGCCTGCTGACGTACATTCATAACAAATAGAGTGCCATCATTCATTTCATTACTTTTTTGTTTGGTACTCGCATTCGGCTGCAGCAATGATGATGCTTCTTTTTTGTAGAGCGACAATGAACAGTTGCATTGCGCGCATGTGTAGACCTTGATGACAATGATCCATCCGTGAATTGTTGCTGTAATGCTCCCATTACGTTCAGCAGATGCCGGGGTAAACGGCACCAGTAAAATGATGCGTAACCAGGGCGTTCATGCTTTACTAACCTTTTCGAAACTCCTTGCCACAAACGCTAAAGCTACATTTATCAATCAATATTTTCTTACCGGAAATACCTTTCTGCCGATTTCGTTCGGTATTTCGCCTTAGCTGCCCTGGAATTTTGCAGTTAATGAACCCGTCAGGATCAGGTGTCAAGTTATGAGCCTAACGCCCTCAGACCACTTCCGGTATTCTCCCTTTGTAGGACTATCCTAACGGTAGAGAGCACACAACTTTATTTTCGTCAGACCTAAGGAGGTAGGTCATCCACCAGGCTGAACGTGGGGGCAACCTCCTGTGCCCTTTGTATGGCCTTCAGCTGAACTGCCAGGCTGGTGGAGGTCAAAGCCACGTTTCTCTTCCTTCTGGCGAGGAAGTGACAAGAATATCGGGAGAGGGGAGATCTTCCCTGGAGGCCAAGAAAGGGGTTACTAAAGAACTCCTCACAGCGAAAGTATTGTTTGCGAGTTTTTTACAGTAATTTGTAGCTTTGCATCTGGTAATGCTAAAATTGTATAATAAATGCTGTAACGCATTGTATAAATAATAAATAATACTAGCGGCGTTAATTATAAGTGATCCCGCGTCACTTGAAAACGTCCACCAAAATTACCTTAGAAACTTGCGCCCACAGTGAAGCACCGCCTGAGGCTATGTGCGCTCAAGCTTCCGTGACACTAAAACACGCTGTCATCAAATAGAAGAACCTAGGGTAGTGAAGAACGAAATAGTGTGAGTGCTCTGAGGTGTCTCTTTCAGAAAAAAGAAAAGCATTCCTGGTGTGAGCAGCCTGAAGCACCCCGAGAGCAGCCCGACAACAGAGCGACATGGGTGACGAAAAGTAGTCCTCGCCCGGTGCCAGCCGGGGCATTGTGCGCGCCCCGCAAATGTTCTGGACCTCTGAAACGTTACAAGAGGATCTCTTCTTTACGTGAATGTTTAAAGAACGTCCATTGTACCTCAATACTCGGAGGAGCACGCACCCTTACTTTGAAAGCAAATTAAAATATGTTCTAGGCAACTCTCTCCACTGATCATCGGTGGGAAGTGGCCCCGCATGCAGGACTGTCAAACACAAGCATCTTGAGTTTCCAAATTTGGTGTCAGGTGTCCTTTCAGCCACAATACGAGCAATGCGGACACGTTGTGTCTAGGTATATACGTGCAAAAATTTGAGGGCGAGGGAATGGATGTTTGTTATTGGCGCCAGATAACCACCTCACGCTTAATGAGCTTGTAGTGTCGGATCGGTTTTAGTAAACTCGGAAGACGGCAACACTGCGTAATGTCATGGTAAGATGTCCCGTCCAGGGTTCCCCGGATGAGAGGTGGTACCCGCATTCAGCTGACAAATCCTCGAAGATAATGGTGGGGCGCTTTGGTCCCTGGATTCCCCGCGTGAACCGGCACCCATCCAGCCTAATGAAGTTTATTGTGTCGTTCGTGATTTTCGGAAGTTTTTGAAATGAAACATATAAATGGGTGGTAACAACCAATATACGCTTTTTTGGTCCTCGGGCCTTTCGGTGCTTGACCTATATAAACACCAAAAAAAGGTAGTGATATTGTCCTCATCATTGGCTAAACATTTCCCAACCATTCTTTTTGCATTTCATGAAGATAGCACTCAAGGAGAAAAGTATGTGTATTTTGTGGGTGCGCTTTGTTATTGCTATGTACAACTTTGAGTTCGCATTTGTACGAATCTGTTTTCACGAAGCTTCAAATGTTGGAGCTGTAACAGCTTTGCAGATATAAATTACGGCTGACCAATCCGGGCTGCGGCGGCTGCATTTCCAGTGGAGGCGGAAGTGTTGTAGGCCCGTGTATTCATATTTGGGTACACGTTAAAACACCACAGGTGGCCAAAATTTCTGGAGCCCTCCACTACGGCGTCTCTCAGAATCATATGGTGGTTTTGGGATGTTAAACGCCACATATAATAAACGGCAGACCAATGCTCATGAAAGGAGGCATATATTCATTATACCGCCCCCGCTACTGGAACGTATGGCAATTTTTAGGCAGCAGTGAGACCAATGTGTATTACGTGCTCTTATTTCTCATTCAGTGAAACAAACATCAAACCATTTCTCAGGATACATGTATTTTCTTCGAGTTCTTATTGAGAGCGAATGAAGCGACACAGTTGTTGTTTTTTGTCCATAGGGCGATGTATGGGCCTGGCACATTTTTGGACAAACCAGCTAGTCCCCTTTTTTCTGCACTTTTACAGTTTCTCAAACTATTTTCGACGAAAAGCACCTCAACAATGCAGCACATTAAATTTGCCATCCCTTCTTATGCTCATTCTTGTTAAAAGCCCTTCACAATGTTGGTGTTAAAAATACTGGCCGCTGGTGCATGGAACCCCCAACGGCATGAAATTGTTCCTATCGAGACTTCGCACAATCAGTTCTAGTCAGCTCATTGTTTTATGGAATCACGATTGAATACACGTGCGAAGTTCACAGTGAATTCTTATTACATGCACAGCTTTGCGACAGCATACGTGCACGCACTCTGATGAAGGAAGCACTACATTCTTAACACCTTTTATTGCTGTGTATGCAGGAGTGGACCTTGTGTACAACTCTCACTATAACTTGCGCCAGGCTGGTGGCGTTGAAATTCAAGGAGTCAAAGTCAACACCGTCCAACGGCGTCCAGTGCTCCTGACGCCAATCGTCGAAGAGTACCGCTTTGTCCCCTACATAGATGATGAGATTACCCGTTGCCAACGTGAGAACCTCTTACGAGAGTATGTCGAAGTATGCAACTGCATCTGCCGACGCGCCCTGAAGATGACCGAAGAAGACAATAGCCACTCGCAGATATCTCCAAACAGCTGTGTTGAAGTACCTGAGAAGGTCCTCAACCAATATATACACAACGTCGAACCCACTCAAACCCTTCTGCAGCTGCTCATAAGCATTGAGAAACAAGAAAATGATGCTGCAACAGTGCCTGCCGCAATAAAATCTGCCCTTCTTGCCTCGGCAAGCATTTTCGAAGAAGACGTCCTGAGCACCAGCCTCTTCGAAGAGGACCCTCTAAGAGATATCCTCGATGTAGTGCTCGAAAACACATGCTCCGTTAAGGTCCGTGTCTGGAGCTCACAGTCGACAGCACCCTCGCAGCCATTGGTCCTCGTATGTCCACTCTCCTGTCCATGTACAGCGTGAACCTGAAGACTGAATACACACTCCTCAACATAAACACCGCCACCATCGCCCGGCAAGAATTGCAGGAAGGCACAGCACCAGTTTCACCTACCCAATCTTCAGTGTCTGAGAGAAAGCAGAATGAGGCTGACTTAGTGATTGCTTCCTTTGGCATCTTGAGGGGCCTTGGTCACCTGAATAATGTGGCTGAAACAATGGCTTCACAGTGCAAGGAACACGGATTCGTTCTTCTGTCCCATCGCACAACACTGACTGCAGCTGAGGCACTCCTGTCTAAAACGAGTGGCGTTCCGGTTCAAGTTTACTCTTTGGAGATGACCACAGCTGCTCTCAGAAGCCAGGGGTTCAAGTTGGTTGCACTCAAGTCGAACAACCTATCCACTCTGCTGCTCTTCAGAAAAGTTATCAGGACCGTCGATGTCAGAAAGCAGCGATTGTAAGGGTGCGAAATGAGCAGTTAAGTTGGATTGATTCACTCAAGGAAAAAGTTGCAGAATATGAAAGCAAGCCTGTGGGAGAAAATATTTGGGTACTCGCTGAAGATTCCGGTCAGAGTGGCATCCTCGGTTTAACCAACTGTCTTCGAAAAGAAAACATTGGTCAACGCATTCGGTAAGTACGCTTTTTTATCCTGCCTATCTTTATTAATCGCGCAATGAAAATTGTGCCACCAAAATAAATATTCTTAAAACAATTTGCCCATGATTGTTGTCAATGCAAGAAGTTGCTCTACAACAGCGTTTTTTCTGCGAGTTAATGGAGACTAAAATTATGTACGATAGATCAGAAATAGCAACAGTTAGTTTTTTTTTCAAAGGTTGTCGTTGACATATGACTTCAAAGCTATATTTCTGTATTACGCACTTATTATGTTTTGCGGTATTTTAGCAGACTGCAGCTTACGTATAAAGTACTTATGTTCGTTGCTTTTTATATTGCTAGCTCATGTGAATGAAAAAAATTGGAGAAAGAACCTATTTAGAAAGTGTTCTGCAGGCGCACGTTATGCCGGGGTGATTGGCTTGTTGACGCTCCTCACCGCATACTTCATGACCCCTGCCTTCTTCTAGTTAGAGCCCGTTTGGTGACGAGCCCTTCGCTACATTTAATACAATTCGTGAAAAAACAGAGCCCCGAGTTTTACCCTCCGGCGTTATTGCATACCTGTTCAACCACAAATCACCCATTCTCACTTTGGCTGTCCGTTCTTTAAAAAAAAACTTTGTTTGTTGTTATAGGTCGTTCACCCTTTACTCCTCAGTAGAAGAATGGAAAGTGTGTCTTTATTTTCTCTGGGTTGTTTTTTGTGTGGTAGCTTTAACTGTGGTGCAATGATGTGCCCAGCCGAGATGCTTCTAGTATGACGGCTGTCGCATGCTTGTAGTTCCAACTTGTAAGCTGTAATCAGTTCGAACTTCAGCCTCCAGCCAGAAAGAGACTAAGTTAGCCGCTATTCTTGAGACACACGTCATGCCACATATCAACTAATGTGAAAGTAAGTAACAAAGCGTCTTGAACTTGAAATGTGTTCCCACGTCATAGAGTTACGTGATGCTTTGCTAAGTGAAGATACAAGCGTATAATACCTTCCGCTGCTTTATCGCGTAAAACTGTTTCCATGCCAGCTATCACTAATTGCGTAATAAAGCTCATGACAAACGCATTATATGGTGTACTAAATATTTTGACCCTAAAGTAAAATTCATTGTCTCTCGTGAAACACAGTTGCTTAGCTATCGCTGACATAAGCAATTATTAACATGTAATGAAGCGACAAGCCTACACAACTGCTTGTTGAATGGCTTGCGGCTTGTTGTCTCCTCGGTTGTGAAATAGACAGCCGACGAAGTGTGATCTTGAAGAGCCAGTATGACGTATGCGTGCATTTATCGTGCTGTTTCTATATTCTACTTTTTTGTGTTTTGGTGATCACTCGTTTCTGATGAAGAAACCTGATCTTTTATTGAATTCACTGATCGCTTCCCCTTGCTACGTTTCATGGTTGCACTTCTGTAGTACATTTCACTGTCTAACGCCAGACCATCATTTGCGGGTGCCAACAGAAGTGCGGTACTGCTAAGCACACGAGTAGAAGTCCCAATCATGTCACGGAAGAAAAATAAAACACAGGATGGAGCATTGTGCAATGCTATCAGAGAAAAAAAGAAATATTCGTCGGTTGGGCCCACACGTGACTTCCTGACGTTGCGTAATTGGAAGACGTTGGCGTCTACGTAGCGTAAAAAAGAGGACACAATCTTCTCGGTATCACCAACTAAAAAAAAAACACTTGGGTAATGGTACCTATGCAGTCTTGACATCACGCTTTTATTCCACACAGCTGCGTATTTGACTGCCACCTTGAATAGCTTCAACCACGTAGCCGACTTCAGCGCCGCCCACCCAGCCTATAAGGACATACTGGAAAAAGACCTGGTAATGAACGTCTACTGCGACGGTCAATGGGGATCCTACAGGCACCGCAACGTGCATTGGAGTGAGTTGTCTTTTTGAAGACTAAAGCGTTCTGTGCAAATACCCGGGTTCACCACGGCTCCACTCACGCATTTCTGTCACGGATATGACGTTGTAAAATATATACTAACCAATTACAAAGAAAAACAAGGAAACGTTCTGTCATGGGGCGTCAAACGAGCGACCTCACGATCGACAGCGTGTGGCGCTGACCACTGGTTCATGAGCGTACAATGTCAAACATGCTATGACAAACCATTTTCATGCACCATATACCGTTTGGCGGTCCTCAGAGGTCCAAGGTTTGTGCGCGTTTACGCCATCAGTAGCGAGATGGCACGAGCGGCTAGCACTTGCGTTATCGTTCGGCGCGCTCTATAGGTGGTCGCCTCTTGCGTTTCGATAAGCGCCGCCTCCACGGCAGGCGGTGTCTCCTGTGTGCGTGCTCATCCGAATCGTCATTTATAAAAGGTGCACGCTGCTCAAGCTAGAAAAAGTAAGAACTGTGACAGTTTTTCTCGCTTGTCCTGTGTATTATTATGCGGTTGTCTCTTGTGTCTCTCTTTTCACACACCGCTCTTTGTCAAGCTGCAGTGTGGCAGTTAGTCCTCCCTCATCCTATGCATGCTCATTTCATGCGTGGTTTCTTTTTGAGGTGTGCGGTGTAAGTTTCAAGCTGCTCGTCATTTTAAAGGTGACTTTGCAATTTATTGCTTTAGAATTCATTCGTTCACGCCGGTGCCAAACAATGCACAATAAGCACTAACTACTCCTGTAAACCCACGTTTCATTTTTGTTTTAAACAGATTTTTAAAAATAGGAATCAGCCACGTTTTTTTGTTCGCTTCCTGCGAAACATAATTGTCAGTGTCGCTTTCTTCGTACCTACATGCTCAAAGTTGCAAAAGTATGATATACAAAACTCATTTTTGCCAATATATAGCAAAGCTATAGAAACAAACTGTTCGTCAATTTAGCATAATTCTTCGTCGTGATTGCGTCGCCTAAGCCACAGCAGCACCTCGGCTTGGTTGTCTGTGAATTCGGTTGTAACCTTACAGTGTGTATTTACAAATACAACGATTACCTGTGTCGTGCATTTTTGAGCAAAAGCTTAAGAGTTATGTAACACTGGCAGGCTTACTGGCTACTCTGTGCCACAGTTACACACGTTTCAAGAGAAACTGTTTTGAAAATAACCATCACAGATTTTTTCCACCTTTCTTCACTCTGACGTCAGCTGCAACACTCTAAACTCTTAATCAAAGCGCTGGGAGTAAGGGTGGAATTACAGCGAAAGAATAGTTTGCTCTTGACCTCGCAGTTGCACTGCGCTCTGATGCTAGGTTTCATGTCCTCTATGAAGCGTAGCGCTTCGTTGTTGCTGACGTTCAGTTACCTACTGCTGATGTGGACCAGCGGTACCGCAAGCGCATTTTCCCTATGTTTGAGCCCCAAACAGGGGCGAATCTTCTTTTAACCGAAATGTTTTAAACTGGTAAATCACTTAGGCGTTAATAGTCGGGAAAGTATTGCCTTGTCGTTTTGACGCCCCAGGTGATTTAATGTCTCGCGCGGTCGATTGCTAGCTTCCTGAATAGGTTATGTTACAAAGCGATCGGTTCTGCTTGGCTGTAGTTCGGGTTACCCAAGTTCTCTTAACATTTCGCTACAAAGGGGATGATGATAACTTTTCTATTCATAGCCAAAGCTGATGCCGGAGAAGACAATTTCGGTGGAATGTTCATATTCCACCTTGAAAGCCACGGCAGTAGGCCCGTTAGTGCACTGACACTGAATTTACCGACAGGAGAGTTATAATTTGTGATCACGCTGTGGCCGCCTGCCTAGGACTTCATTTGCTTAGCATGTGCAGAATACAAAAAATCGTTACCAATTTGGAAGTAATTGTTTCGCTCAAAAATGAATTTAATTTGCGTTAGCTTAGATATCAGCCACAATTATAGCTGTTCAAAACAAGTTTCCAATACGGACTCTACAACAGTTGCACAAAACAACCACGTTCAAGAAAAATATCAAGACAAAAAGTTTGTGTTGCACTACCACCGACCTAACATTTCTGAAGGTTTTCGAAGTATTGAAAAGTAAAGAACAATTTGAACACTTAGACGTACTTCGTCCTGTTTATTTAAATTGAATAATACAGAGATTTACTGCTTGCCCTACCCGAACTCGTATAACGTTTTGCAGGCGGAGAGGCAAAGACCACAACGCAGTTCGCATACCTCAACGCACAGACTCGCGGGGACCTTTCGAGTTTGCAGTGGTACGAGTCTCCGTTGAGCTATCTCTCACCTAGCGATAAAGTTGGCTCTGAGGAAGCGTACGTGGACGTCTATTATGCTGCCGTCAACTTCCGTGACGTCATGCTGGCCAGCGGTAAAGTAAACTTGGACTCGTCACGCGGTGAGTAGTGTTTCTAACAGCGGGGTGGTGTTAGCTGACCATTAGTCCGTACGGAGGGTACATATTGTATTCTCGTCATGAACCGAAACGTGCTCTCTCGGTCCCGCTCTTCTATGTCGTCGTCTTCTTCTGATTCGCTCCAGAACAAGTGTACCGTCATCTCTGCCGTTGCATGCTCCAGCACTGAAGACTTACAGAATTAGCAGAAAGAGGGAGAAAAATAAGAAAGACAGAGAGAGAGGCAAGGCAATTAGAGAGAGAAAAAAGAGAAATTTATTGCAAAACATGCCTCACCAATGTGAGATTGGAACATGGGAGCCCTCGATCCAAATTGGCACGTTTTAACAACTCAGCGATCTACGCATGCTAGCACAGCATGACATACTTTCGTATCATACAGTAGAGAATACTATATTATAGCAAGGAGGTGGTAAAGGTTAGTCACGCTTAGGGAAAAGAGGTGGGAGAACAAGTACGGGGAGAAATATATAGAAAGTAAGACAAAGAAAGAAATATAAAAAAGGAACATAATTATATATATAGAGAGAGAGATAGTTGCACTAAAATGACACAAATATGAAGGTAAAAATACAAGTCGACAGAATCAGTGCAGAAAAAGAGAAAAAAATAGACTGAAATGAAGAAATACAGAAAAAGTAAGGAAACTCAGATAGAAAGAAGATAGAAAGAACTGTATAAAAGATCGTGCATGGATGTGTAATATAAAGAAAATCAAGTGTTGGGGCAGAGAGAAATGATACGGTGAAAACCTGGCCTATGGTGGGCAAGTTGAGGGTCAACCAGCTGTGTTGTAACCCGGATCTACGTGACCTAATTTGACCTGCACTATTTTTTATCGGCAAAGCACATTATGGTCGAGGCCTTCCCTTCTGAAGCCCATTCTCCTGGCTGACACGGGCGAGGTGACGGCTTGCTTCCGCCGCTTGAGACGGCTTTAAGCTCTCCCATAGCAGAATACCAAGTACTCTAAATCGTTACCCACTTTTTCTACCCCCCTCCCCCCTCCAGCATTGGCCTACGGTAGGAGAGTAAATAAATCATCGCGTGCGCTCTCGGTGAAGGCTGTTTGTTTCACTGTGGCGGCCCAAGTACTACAATATGTGCTCGCTCCCGGCTGTCTCTCATGGTCATGGAGTGCACTTCGTTTTATGAAGGAAAGAAAAGAAGAAAGAATGAAGTGGGGGGGGGGCAATGATACTCCGCAGCTTCGTCCACTCGCCATCATTCACTTCATGGATATGCTGTGATTTTTTTTTCAACTCACCTCAGGCTTTACTCCTTCGTGGAGATATCCCTGCGCCTAGACGGCATACACAGATAACTAAGAAATCTCATTGCATACTACAAGTTTTATTTAAAATCCGCATGTAAAATAGGATGTAAATCGTAACGAAATACATGGGCGAAACAAGCCACCTCCAGACCAACCATTTGTAAGTAAATTTATCCAACTGACTAGTAGTTCAAGTAACTCCTGCATTGCAATGTTTTCTTTCAACTAGCATCTTTGGACACTTTGAGGTAAAATTATTCAGCAAGTTATAGTAAGTACCCGTGAAACCGTACATCACAGCCATATCATGCTGATTGTTTTTCACCCACAGTTTTTCTTCTTCACTTTATCGCCTCGACATTGCACGAAAACGTTGTATTTTCGTTATATTTACTTTGCTTGCATGGTCTCTCACACGGAAATAGTTCTAAGTAAAAAAATGCGGACAAGATAGCCTAAACGCTGCTGTTGATTGGTGATCTGCAATGTATTTATGTGCATAGGAGATGTGTACTGAAACCGTTACATCGATTTTATTACTTTTGTATGATTGGCTGGCATCTATCAGAAAATTGCTTATAAATTCTGAGTTACTTACTATTCGGCATAATACTTTAAAATACATTGCTGATTGTCCAAATCTGAAGGACCAAATAATACTGGTGAACTCCATCGGCTAAACAATAATCTTGCAACTGTGGCACAGAACGTTAGAGGCGTTTTAAACATTAAAGAACACCACAAAGGTGCGACGAATGAAGGTGACGTGAGGACGACTGCTATACTCACTTGTCCCGCCTTTGTGCTGTTTCTTTTTTTAAAGTTATGTACAAACTAGAGGACCGTATACAATTAAGTGTTGCATACAGACATCATCACTTCTTGCGCCGCATAAGAAGAAGGACGTCCCCGCACTGCGACCACTTTGATTATGTCGACGCGTCATTCAGCATACCATTACAAATTGTTCGCATACGGTGAACAACGCACTCAAATGAATGATCAATTGAACAGTTCGACAGGAGATCATTTAGCATTCTCGAATACTCAGACCGTTGTGGCATTCCGATAATTAAAGGCGCGCAGTGAGCGCCCTCCGTGATTTCGTAATGGACACAATTTTAATAAACTGTATTTTCTCCTTATTGCTCCTTGCCATCCTCTCTATACGGACTCTAGCCGCGGTGTGATTATGCGATATGAACTGGACTATGCGCATAGACTGTGGTCGCACGTTTTAAGTCTTAAAGTGTATATATGTAAAGTCCTGATGAAAAGTTTTCAGGCCCCGCTTTCATAGAAATACATGGGACAGAGTGGCCTGGCAACTTTTGACCCCACCTCAACGCAGTGCCTGGGAATATTTTTAAAAGATGATGGTTTTTCACGGGACTTTCGAAGCAAACCTTCTCCGGGAACTCGGTGACCCAGTCGGTGCTAACGTCACTTCTTGAAGATACATCGTGAACGCGGGAAATCAGCCCGAAACGTTCTGCTGCATTCAATCCGAGTAGGACTTGCTTGCCTCTCTTGACCACAAAAAAACTGATATTCTCTTGCTGCTCTCCTAGACGTAGTGGCAGACTGATAACGCCCAAATGATGTATTTTGCTTCCTTCGTAGTTAGTAAGTACTGTGGTCGATGGCCGCACCATGGTCGGCAAACGCATCCTGCGAAAGTACGAGTACGGCAATATGTTCGCTTGCGCTCCTGTATCCACTTTCAGTTCTGTCGGGTGCCCGGCAAGGTCCCCTGCCACCGTCCAATCCTGATTTTTGGACACGTTTCTGATTTGTACCGTGAGAACTTGAATGTCTTCATCGGTAGCGTCCGAGGACTCCTCCAGTGCATCTTCTGTTGCAGCGACGCCTAACTCATGAACGCCGCGTCTACTCCTGCAGCAAGCTGCAAAATGGTTTCTTTTGTTGCACAGCGTGCACGTTTTTCCAAACGCTGGGCAGCGTCTTGGTCCGTGAATCTTGCCACAGTAGCCACAGCGTCGACGTTGTCCGCTCGTACGAGACTGTCCGGCAGCGTTTGCAATTTTTTCGACTCTCTGCACTTTCGCTTCGCTTTCAAGAGCCCGGTTCTGCGTTGCTGCCAGTTCCGCGGCTTTGCAGATTTCTACAGCTGATTCTAGGGTTAAGTCCTTCTCCTGAAGCAGGCGTGCACGTAGCTTCTTGTCGACGATACCGCACACTATCTGGTCCCTCACCATCGAGTCCCTAAGTTCGCCAAAATTACAAGTCTGTGCTTTCAACTGAATATCGCGCAAAAACTGTTCGAAAGGTTCACCATCCTGTTGTTGCCGACTGCGCAGAACGTACCTCTCGAATGTCTCGTTGCACCGAGGCGTGCAGTAGTCTTCGAAGGCTTTGACGATCGAGTCATAGTCCTCTCGTTGTTCTGCTGATAGAGGTAGGGTGTTAAACACTTCAATTGCCTCTGGGCCCGCGACGTGTAGAAAGATGGCAGCCTTCTGTGCTGGCGTCCGTTTCTTGTTGGTCTCAGTAGCTTTGAAGTAGAGTTCGATTCGTTGGCGGAACTTTTTCCAGTTGTCGGCCGGAGTATTTGTCAGTACAAGTGGCTCGGGTGGTGGTAGGCAGTCCATCTTCAGCGCAGGGTTCGACTGTTACACTTCTGACACCATGTTCTGCTTTACGCGCTCAGCAAAGACACAACCACACGAGACGCTAGCTAGCAAGGGACTGTTTATTGATGGCTGCCGCGCCGCGCGCGCGCCCTCTCTCAAGGTGGCCAGGTGAGGTGGGATCATCCCGATTTATTAAGCGGTGGCCCGCCTGGTACAGTGAGCACCCTCTGTGATTTCGTAATGGACACAATTTTAATAAACTGTATTTTCTCCTTATTGCTCCTTGCCATCCTATCTATACGGACTCTATCCGCGGTGTGATTATGCGATATGAATTGGACTATGCGCATAGACTGTGGTCGCACGTTTTAAGTCTTAAAGTGTATATATGTAAAGTCCTGATGAAAAGTTTTCAGGCCCCGCTTTCATAGAAATACATGGGACAGAGTGGCCTGGCAACTTTTGACCCCACCTCAACGCAGTGCCTGGGAATATTTTTAAAAGATGATGGTTTTTCACGGGGACTTTCGAAGCAAACATTTTGGCCTGTCTGTCTGTCCGTACATTTGTCTGTTTGTTCACTCTTAACAGCATTGGGTACTTGAAACCGCCGACCCCATCCACAGCGCCAACCAATGCTGCTCAAGGTTTAGCGTTCATATTTGTGCAATTGTCAATTAAAAAGCAATAATTGCGCATGTATGGAACACCGTAACAACACGTATAAAGTATTTTACTAAAAAGGCATACATAAGTAATTTTAAGCACCGCAGTGCTTATCACGCTGCTCTGACCATGCAACGCTTGCACGAACAGGCGAGTGTTTACAACTCTTTGCTAAGACGAGACGGTGGTGGTGGTGGTGAAAACATTTATTAACCATTAAATGGTTACAGAGAGGTGATTGGGTTGGGGCCTTATTGGCCTCCTACCCTCACAGCACTAGGTGGAACCCCTATTCCGGGGCTCCATTGGCAAGCAACGCCACCCGCGCCCGTTGAACCAGAGCCTCTTGGGCCTTCAGGTCTGGACAGCCGAGCAGGGCCGCCTCCCAGTCCTCTCTCGTGGGATTGGCGTTGCGGGGGATAGATTGATTAGACTGGCACGCCCAG